CGATGTTACGCAAGTTGTTTCGCGAAGTCCGGGGGGAGTTGTGGCGCAAGCGTTGTGTGGATAGAATGTGTTTGGTTGATTTGGTTGGTGGGTTGTTTGGCTGGTTGGTTGTTGGTTGTTGGTTGGTTGGTTGGTTGGTTGGCTGGCTGGCTGGCTGGCTGGCTGGCTGGCTGGCTGGCTGGCAGCTAGATTGGGTGGTTTTGGTTGGTTGGTCTTCTTGGTGTGGTGGGTGTGTGTTTTTTTTTCTCTCTCTCTCTCTCTCTCCCTGAAGCTGCAGAGCTTGTCACTGAAGCAACCACCCAGCTCTCATTGAGGCCTGGGTGGGGGTATCCAAAGGACTCCGGCTTGAGCCTGGCGGGGCTTGGGGAGTCGGACTGTTCGGGTAGTGTCCATACCGTGGATGGTTGCGAAATCCATTTCGCACCACAGAGACCCTGGAAGGATGATTCCCCTGTAAATACCAACAACCACGGTTTTCCATGGGGATCACCACCTCAGAGACCCAAGGGAAGGAATCGATTCCCCGGTAGAGACCAACAATCCCATGGTGTTTCATGGTTTCCCAAGAGTTGAAATGCCAGGAATGGCCATAGGCCAAGGGCCAAGGTCGCAGGCTGGAGCAGTCGGCCACTTCCCCGCGCCAAAGTTGCGCCGAGGTTCGTGATGTGGTACGCGGCCTTCGGCTTCTCCAATTTCCTTTGCGTCAAGAAGGAGGGGCCGGCGAATGAAGATGAACGGACATGGATGGCTTGAACTGTTCCGTCAGTCTAAGAGTCCCAGACGTTGCTTCAGGGAATGCATGCGACCCATGGGCAAAGGTTGACTCACCATCTCTAGCCAAGCAGCCGGCAATCGCTCGGGCTGTTCCTTTGTGAGAGCTTCAGCGACCAGTTGTTCGGATAGCCTATTGCGGCTCAGGCTGAAAGACCCTTCTCTTCGGGGATCCCTTCATTCTCACAACATATTTCTTTCTGCTGATGTATGCCTGTACCAACTCTAAGCAAATGCGCCTGGCATTTGCAGGAAGACCTTCCATACCGCAATCTTGCACGGAAGTCAGGGCCCCAGCCGAACCGCCGAACACACTTCTGCAAATCCTTCGGGGATCATGAGTCAAGGGTTGTGGCAAGCTCTTTGAAACTTTGGGCCTGGCGACCCGCATTGACACCATTTTGACAAAGGCATGGGAGGTTTGCTGAAATGTGTGAAGGTCTGCCAGGAAAAGGCCCTCAGTGTCCCAGCGACAGTCCCAGGTTGGGCTTGAATTTGCTGGAGCTGGAGCGTTACAAAGAGGCCTTTGAGAAGTTTGACCAGGCCGGAAATGGGTGTGAGCTGGTGACTTGGATGATCCCCCCCCCCCCCCCGCAATCTCACGGGCGATGGCATATTTTCAGGGCTCGGCTTTGCTCGTTTTGCTTGCTTGTTTTTCCTGTTTCGGTGGAGGCGCGCGGACCCTCGCACCCGTTTTTGGGCAGTCCCTTCATGTTTCCACCCAGGGGTCCAACGACAAAGCGACAATTGGCTAACTTTGGGCCAATCCAGGGACCTTTTTTTTCAGCAGAGTCCTTCCAAGATGTTGATTTCCCACTTTTTTTCGGGGGGGGGTACGACCGCTGAAGAACTCAACATCAAAGGGCCCCCCATATGGTGGACACTTAGGGTCTATTTTGCAACCTCCGTCTTTTAGGGTATTGGGTTTCTCGGTTTCTTCTTGGAGACGGCCCCATAGTTTTTGGTCTCAGGATGGCAGCGGCGCCGCCCGGCTGCATTTGGCCTCAGGGCTCGCCTCAGGCTATGTCTCAAGTCGCGGGGGGAAGGTCCCTTTTGGTGCTTAGAGGGGGGCAAAAGGAAACCAACCGATGTGTTCGTCCCTACTGGAGAGAGAGAGAGAGAGAGATTGGTCCAGATCCGAAATGTGCAAACCTGACGTTCCGTTTCTCGTGACTTTTGTTTGGACCATTGCTAATATGTCTTTGCCCAGATGGGCTGCGAAGTGGTTCAGAGCAGGTGTGGGCTTTCTGGAGAGGTTCCGGAGTTGCTGTTGGGGATGCCACCAGCGCTCATTTTCTTTCTGAGGGTTCTTTGTTGGCCGTTACGAATGGAAAATCATAATGTGGATGGACGAAATCCTGCACCACTTTGCAACCATGGGAAGCCATTGTTTGTTGGTACTTGAAGGCGAATCATCTTTCCAGGGGGCCCATGGCTCCAGGGAGTTTTCCCTGGGTGAGCGTTGACAGAGAATCGTCACCCTGTGCGTGGCATTGGGCTTCATTAAGTTGACCATTTCTGGGGACCATCTTGGTCTTCCGTTTTTCCGTTGGTCCGTTTGTTTCCAATCAAAACCCGGGGAAAAGGTTAGTAAGGGCTTGGGAGGCACTGGGTTCATGCCCATTTCTGGGGGGAAGTCGGAAAAAACTGGGGCGATTTCCTTTCAACCTGCCGCTTGGGTGGGAGGCCCAGGAGGCGAGCTGAGGCCATCGACATGGATGAGTTCGAGGAGTTGCTCCATGTCATCATGAAGGCCCGTTTTTCCGTCTGGTTTTTCCGTCCCCACCCGCCGCTTGAGTTGGCTTTGGAGACTCTAAGGGCAGGAGAAGGCAAGAGAAGGTGGGCACGCCAAACGAGCCAGCCAGTTGTTAGCATTGACATGCTAGGCAGTTTGCCGACTTTGGAACTTGATCCCCTGAATCATTTGGTGGTTAGCATCTCAGTGGTTGCAGTGCACGCACGCTTAACCCTGCACCTTGGATGTCGGAGCAGAGCCACTGCACATTGCGAGCAACTAATCCTGCACCAGCAGAGAAACCCTGGAATGATGTATCCCCGCTAAATACCAACAAACAATGGTTTCCCATGGTTGCAAAGTGGTGCAGGATTTCGTCCATCCACAGTAGGTTGTCGACCTTTGCCAAGGATTGGCGTGTTGGGCATGGTGGAAAGGATTCGGGCCAAGACAAAGCAGCAGTAGCCAGGGTTCCGTTTTTGGACAACCCCAAACTAGACTTAAACCCAGGGGTTCCCCTTTTGGGGATATCTACCACCCCTGGGTTTGAGTCCACTTTGGGGTCGTCAAAAAAGGGAACCCTGGCAACAGCGATCCTTTGTCACGACATGTTTCGCACTTTTCTCGAATACTTCCGTACCCGTAAGGAGCCAGGCCCAGGTACAAGCCGTTTTATAATTACACCTGATGCGCTGCATTTCTGGCAGGTTCCCACGGGGCATCATTTGTCAGCAGAGCGGGTCATGGTGCTTTGGCGCGATGCTGACCGCGAAGGGGAGGGCGAACTAGACCTGGAAGCGAGCCTTGGCCTTTTGTTCCGCGGGGCGGCGACTGGGTCAAGAGCACGCCTTGAATCTGTCAAACCTTCTTTGTGATGCCTTCTTGCCAAGAGTTCAAGCCTTCGAAGCCCATAATTCGGTTTTGACCAAAAATACGCTGAGGCAAGTTAGGGCTGGCATGTTAATTGGGTTCCATCCGTTTCGGTCAGAGCTAGGCGTGCCAGGTTCCAAATGTTTTGGCCTTGGGCTGTGCACAAAGCTGAGGTTCTGCCGGTTCTGCACGAGGCACCTCGAGCAGGGATCCAACAACGCGAAGATCTCTTTCAGCGCTGCTCTTGCAGTTGGCGTGGGTGAGGGGATGCGTTTTTTTTGTTTCTTCTTTCTTTCTTTCTTTTCCCCAAGGCGGTGTGTTTGGGTGCCCATGTTGTGAGATAGGAATATGAGGCGGTGTGGGAAGGGCTGGACCACCACGGTAGGACACCCGATGAACCATAGTGTAAAAACTAAAGGAGGAAGCGACTGGAAACGCATCTCCACAACTCGAAATATTGGTGAACTGTTGCACCCATAGGTGTCCTTTTTGGTTGACTTGGTTTAAAGATAGAGGGCGATTCCTGGTTTACCTGGTGGTTCAATCAACTACCAGGGCCATCTATTTTCAACCAAAAAGGACGCCTATGGTGCGGTCCGGTTTCGCCGATTTTCGTCGTACCCGAGCCACGGGCCAAGGCGAGTATTACCGCAGCATCCGGCGCATCCCGACTGCTCCGGGGCATCTCTAGAGGTCACCGCTGGAGCCTTGGTTTCATGTACCCATTGACATGGAACCGGACGTTCGGTGGTCCTGGAAGGCCATTTTCAGCAGGTCCAGTGAATCGCAGGCATGATCCTGAAAAACACTGGTAGCATCCAGCAGCCGCATGCTGCGTTTGAGGTCGTGTACAAGGGTGCGCGGCTGCTCAGATTAATGCACACAATCCTGCGGATAGTACCTTGTTGCGGGCTCTGGCTGCACGGCAACGAAAGGATCGGCACTTGCTGGCAGCTTTGCACAGAGTGCTTGATTCAAAAGCAAGAAGTTGAGTTATGTTGAGTCTGGAAACCGGCGTTGGTCGGTGAGCACTCAGCGCATATGGTCCATTGTTGCAGGCGTTTGCTTGTTGTTGGCGGCTGCGCCCTGTGGATTATCAGGGTGGAACTAGCGTTGCCGCGCAGCCTGCTGAATGGCCGTGCTTCTCAAAAGGCGCTCGTAGAGTGCTAGCGATGTTTTGAATGGCCTTGCGCCTGTCCACTGCAGCTTGCAGGCGAGTCGGTGTGTGGTCAGCACCCCGTCCGAGCAAGCAAGGTGGCGCTCCAATTCGGCGCATGCCGAGCGGAAAGCCGCGGCGTGTTTCCTCCTGTAGCCCAAGGCTCAGCGATCAGCGCGGCAAAGGAAAAGCAGGGAGGGACGAACCCCTACGCTAACCTGGCGGGAAGGAGTTCCCGGTGAACGGGGGGGGGGGGCCAAAGCGCGTGGCGCATTGTTCAGCTGAAGGGGAGTTACTGCCTCCTATCCCAGAGGGTCCAAGTACCTTCTATGGAGGTGCCTAGGGCTCTTTCAACTTTCAAAAGCCATTTTCGGGAGGTACCAAGGGACCCTCAGATCTGGGTATGCTGATTCGCCCGAAACCAGTTCGACTCTGTCGTTCCAGGTAGAATTTGTTGTTCGCGCGCAGGCGGCATTTTGCTGGGTGTCCTGTCGGCGGGGGCCTCTGCCTTCATCGCGCGGGCGGTGCTCGGAGAACAGCAGCCGGAGGAGGAGAGGGATGGGGCATCCTTTGGGCAACCTCTGGGCATCCTCGGTGACTGAGCACCTACCTGGCATGAGGTCTGTTCAGTTCCAGCTGGGAAAGGTGGAGTTTCACACCATAGGCGTCCTTTTTGGTTAAATTGGTTAAACAATAGAGGGCGATTCCTGGTTTACCTGGTGGTTCAATCAACTACCAGGGCCATCTATTTCCCCCAATATGTTTCGCGCCCTAATGACGCGCCCTGGTCAGAAGGTTGGAACCCAGGATGAAGGAAAAAACCCATTGATGAGCTTGATGGGGGGCCTCTGAACTTGGAGGGGACAACGGGGGTCGTTTTTGTTGGAGGCTCCTCCCCCAAGAATCCACCAGAGTGATTTATCAACGACAATTACTTGGCAGGAGGTCTTTGAATTCTGCGGCCAAGACTTGCGGTTGCTGCCTTGCTTCTCTGGGCGTAAGGGGTCTCGATTTCGCCTGCGTCCACCCACAAGCATGGAGCCCGAAATTTTATTGAGCTTGCATGGAGGACCGTTCCTCACACAATGGTACCCTCAGAGAAATGGGCTCACGTTTCGTTCCCTTGTGAACCTCTCCTAAAGTGGGAGTTTCATTGCACCAAATCCAATGCCTGTCAGGAGCGCCTTTCCTCGTGCCGCTGAGCTGCAAAAGTCGGGCGTATCACCTCCAAGTGTTTCCCCTAGACTGCTTCCTGTTCCTTTTTGTTTTTTAAAGATTGAGTCTGAGGTAAAGCCTATGAGTCAATGAGCCTTTTCTGCGAAACGATGGGTGAAAAGAAAGGGGTAGACCCACTCAACCCACTCCTGACACAGAGCTACAACGATCGCACTGGGTGGTGGATGGGCCTGGATGGGGGTTTAGGTTGCCAAACGCAATGCAGACCACTGCAATGTTGATTGACATTTATGCTCAAAACGCGCGCGCGTTCAAATGTTTCGCGCGCACAAACTTGAGGCGTTTTGTACTTTTAAGGTGTGCCATATAATAGGACTAGGGGGAATGAACGTACTATCCTGTATTTCAAGCATTTGTTGGGCTGGGGAAGCATGTTCCTGCTTCCCCCAACGTCACGCTTTTTGAAAACCAACTCAAATTTGGGAGTTCAAGTTTCGAACAATTTTCAATTGCAACAAACATGTGCCACTTGAAAAAAAGCTTGTAAAACGTGGCATGTGTTGCTTGAAAAACCGTTTACATGGTTCAATCAACTACCAGGGCCATCTATTTTCCCAAACAGGACACCTATGGTTGCAACATGCAAAGTTCCCTTGCAAGTTACTTGGTCGTCTTGCACGTTTCCTACTTTGGAACTGAGAGGTGATGCCACGCAGAACGGGACCAGCACCTGCGCGGCTTGGGAGCTGGCGGGGGTGAACGTCACGGATGCCGCAGGAGCGGTGTCGAGGGAATGCCGAGGTGAACATGGAACATCCCCCCGTTAAATGTGAAATTGGACGGGGTCACCCCTCGAAATCCATGGTTCCATTTCCCTTTTACGGGGAAGACTCGATAAATGGAATTGGATTCGGACCCCCCCCCCCTGGTAGGGGGGGATCATGGAATCGAGCCATGCATGGGAGCTCCTTTCGGGGGAGCCGGACCGAAGCCGCTGAAGAAGCGCCATGTTTGCCAGGGAGTGCTGGGGTCAACCAAACAATCATTCCCTACAAACCATGGCTCAAAATTAAACGATTGGAGGGGCAAACCGCAGGTTTTGCTTCAGTCCATGTTTCCACTTACCAGGGTTCCAGTTTTGTACCGTTTTTTTTTTGGTTGTGGTGAGCCGCAGCCACATGCAACCACAGTTGGAAGTGGGGTATTCCTGTATCCCCTAGGAGGAATGGCAAGCATGGCGCCAATGGGCTAGTCTGCCAATGAGATGGCTTTGAGTTTTACCGAGTGCAACCCTTCAAAAATGGGTTGGTGGACACGCCCATGTGGTGTCCTTGAATTGGGTACCGAATACCTTGTTGGACGACTTCCTGGTCGAAACAATGCAGTTGGTTGCTCGGCCAACCTATAAGGGGTAAGCCCAGCACGCATAGCCGCAAATACCTGCAGCGTTTTATGTTGCAGGTGTGCGGAAGATGGACCTGGCCCGAACGCTCACGGACTGCTACTTGGATGGACTCAAGGTGCCACAGACATGCCTCCTATATACTCCAACTGGGTGATGAGGGGTTCGTGTTGCTGATTGCGCCGTTTGCACGTTGTGTTGAAGAGAATCCACAATTTTAACAGGATGGACACCCGCGATTAGCACACCCCCGATTGATATTGATCAGGGGATGTCCCATTAAAGAGGGGGAACCGGATCACTTTCGGGGGAACACCTGCAAGTGAATCTACCAGGTTGGTAAGGGGATGTAAGGGGTGTGCAGCTAATTGGCATTTGGCAGGGTGTATCTCGCTCTGATCAAATTGGAGGCCCCACATAAAATAAGGCGGTTTTTCCTTTTTGAAGCTTCCCCACGGACAAGTACCTCAAACAAAGCAAATGGACGGGCCCAGCCCAGCAAGCATCGTTTCCCAGTAGCATTTGCTACTGCCCCTTTTTTATTCAGGGTTGTTTGCTCCCTAATGTTGACCCCATATTAATCAACCCCAGTTTATTGGGGGGGTGCTTCTCCCTGGATTTCGTGGGGGAATCATTGACCACTTTTGGAGGGGCCCACACCCCCTATTCCGAAAGCAGGGGTTGATGAATACAACATTCCTCCGCCTCCCCGGCTAGTCTTCCTGAAGAACAAAATGTGGCGGGGGTCGCTCGTGAGCCAAGTGGACTAGTGGACTCTTTCGAGCGGAGACGAGGTGAAGGATGGCTTGAGCCGAGGTTGCCAAGGCTGCGACGAGGTGAAGGATTGCCAGGCGCGCCTTTAAAAATAAAAAAAAATAAAATAATAATAATATAAATATATATATATATATATCTCTTCTTTTTTTACATACTCGCGGCGGGCTTGGGGGTTCAACGAGATCACCCATGAAGGTCCCGGGCCTTGGGCGAGAGCATATTTCAAGTTTGTGAAATCTAGAAAGAAGTGCAGAACATTGCAAGTGAACAGAAGGGCTTCGAGGGTGTGGGCAGCAAGTTGTCACAGTTGTGTTAAAGTTGTGCAGGGAGTGCAGCCCAATCTGTTTGGTGGAATGGAAGTTGCGAAGCACTTCTCACTGCCCATGTGCGATTTGCCATTCAATCAACATGAATTTGGGAGTTTAGCCTGCGGCAATCGCGGAGTGAGCCGCGCTGCCGGCCCCTTGTGAGAAAGATCCCGTTTGGCAGGCTGAATTCAGCCCCACTGGAATCCAAGCTGCCCAAGTGCTCAGGCATTTCCAGCTGCAACAGTGGTTCGAACCTCACTTTTGGGCCCCTAAAAGCCATCCTCATGAGGTACTTGTACCGCCTGGGAAGCATGTTTTTTTTTGGTGAGTGTCTCGCACCTTGAGTACCAGATGCTGGGCTTCTGGTTAGCGACGCCTCCTTTGATGCGCGCTGCGAGGGCTGGATCTTCGAGCATTTGGACAAGCGGTGCCGCTGGATCCACTTCGTGGACGAGGCAGCCTTCAGCGAGCTGTTCTTGGGGTTGGGTCCGGCTCACGATTGCTTGTGTTTGCCTTTTGTGCCTTGGCAATTTCCTGGCATGGCATATGAAGGTTCTTGAGGCTTTTCCCCATGGATGGAATGGAAGGCTCACAGCTACTTCCTGGCGTTTTGGTGGCGGAGAACTTCGACTCTTTTCCCCACGGATGGTCTTGGCTGACCTTTTTAAAGTCAACTCAGGGATCGAGAGCTGGGATTGGTGAGCTCGGATCGGGAGGTCTCGGAGCCAAAGGCAGCAGAGGCGCCAGCTAGGAACTGGCAGATTCCCACTGGAACAAACGATAGCGCACGTAAGTCACGCAAGGCTTCCCGTAGAGTTGGGCGGCTTGGATGAGAACTCATAAGTCCTGAATCCTTTCGAACTGGTTTGTTTTCAGTTTGGCTTCCCAACTGCATTAAGGACGGATTTTCCGACCTTCGTTTTGACCATTTAATGGACCTGCCATGCTTGCAATCCATGCGGGGTACTGTGAAATGGATATCGCAACCATCCACATTATAATACTGTGGATGGACGAAATCCTGCACCACTGGAAAATCATGGGAACCCATAACGTTTATTGGCATTTACCAGGGCAATCGAATCATTCTATGGTTGTTCAATTGCAGGATTTCGCAACCATCCGCAGCATCTCCTCGCAGGTGTGCAATGCCAATCCCGGAGACATGAGCTGCAGATGCTTCACGACGCCTGGCTTGCATCACGAGCTTGATTTATATATAAGCGTGCGGCGGGAGCATGAACTAATGTTGACCTCATAGTAATAAAATCCTGGTTATTAATAGGGGCCCTCCAAAAGTGATGATTCCCCACTAAACCCAGGGACACCCCCCCATTAAAAAACTGGGGTTGATTAATATGGGGTCAACATTAGCACCTCCAAGATTCGTGTTGTGGTGGTGCTGACCCACAATTCCATGTTGTGCAGTTTCTGTATGCTACTTCTTGAATGCCCTCCTTGCATGCGCGTGTGACAATGTGGAACTCACTCACTTGTAGCAAGGCATGAGGCGCAAGGCGCGAGGTGTAATCAAAGTGGTTGAGCGGAGGGCTGGTAGGGAAACTTGGAATATTTAGAAACCGGCTTGGATGCGCTTTGGTGGATTTCTCCTGTTCTTCCCCCTGTAGGTTCTTTTTTCATACCCTCTTAGTGCTCTTTTACTATCCCTCTAAGTCAGATTCGCCACCCAAGACGTTTTATAGAGAATAGAGTCGGCCCTTCTGCCGCATTGCTTGCTACTATTTGGCTCAGGTTGATCTCAGTTGTTCAAAGCCGACCTTTTGACCTTTTGGTTTTCGTTTTTCTGGTCCATATTTAGCCATTGAGGTTGAATAAGGGCAGCCGCGTCCCCAACTTTCAGGCGGGGAGAATTTGCCATTTGCTGCAGGAGTCGTGGTATTGCCTTCAGCTTCAAGCCGCCGAAGAAGACCTATTTGATTTGGGTGGACGCAAGCTGGGAGTAGACAGGAGATGCGCGGTAGATGCGAAGAATCCTTGTCCGACTGAGGCATCAATAGACCCAAAGCTTGGTTTGCTCCACGTGCACGTGTGGTTGCTTTCTTGCTTGCTTGTGTCAAGTAGCGGTTGTCACACTTCTGGAGAAACAAACGCGCACACACAATCGCATTTCACAGAAGGTAGGAAGCCATGGAGCGTGCCAATTCGGGTAATCCGGAATCAACGTGCATGACACCAGCTGCCTGGAAACTGTGTGCTTCAGCAGCTGTGCGCACAGCTTCAGCGACCAGGCTAAGAAATACAGCTTTGCACAACCAATGCCGTTCAACACCAGGCACCTGTTCTGCATTCAGGCGGCGTAGCTAGGTTTCGGGCCACACTGCGTCAACTCAATTTTATCCTTTGAACTCAGCAGATGGATAGCTTGACGTTGGCCCACGGAGGATTGCCTGCAGGCACACGAATCTGCTCTGATTTGCTATGGGTCAACTGTTCGTCAAAGCCATAGCTTGAGTTGCCCCCTTGCAGTTTCATAACCGTGACCTGCCGGGCAGATGTTTATGGCAGGGCCCCTTGCGGATGTCTAAAGCTGGCATTCGGAAGGGCCTCGGAGTTCGGAGTGCTTGGCACTGTGGATGGACATGGATGGTTGCGAAATCCATTTCGCACCATCTCAGAGATCCTGGAAGGATGATTGCCCTGCGAATACCAACAAATAATGGTTTCAACCATGGTCTCCAAGTGGTGCGGGAGCGGAATTTCTCCATCCACAGTACTTCCAGAGAAACTTGGGTGTGTGTCACTCGCCAGGGGTGAACTCAAAGAGCACCCTCTCCTGGCAGGGGTCTTCCATTGCCTTCGGCATGCGAAAAATGAGACGCGGCCAAGCAGCCAGGTGGTTGATCGGAGTAACCCGGGGCAGGAAGCAACAAACACATGTCCTGTTTGGTTAAACGCAAGGGGGATGGGGGGCCAACACTTTGGGCGCACATGACTTGATGGTGCCATATTTGCAGGTCCACTTCAAGTATGTTGAGGAAAACCCTTGCAGTGAGATGGAAGCTTGGGCCCTGTCATGCCATTCCATACTCCCCCTCAGATCGAATACAGTTGGAACACAGGAGGTGCAAGGGTGTTCAAGTTCCCTCCTCATGGTTTTGATCATTTATTGGAGCTTAGTTTACCTTGCAGGTCTGGAACTATCCAAAGCACCAATTTTACTCATGGTCGACACATGGTCATGCTTGTCGCATCGCAACTCTTGGTGGAAATGAATCAGGTGCCCAAAACAGGGGAGGATGTTGGCAGAGTTCTGTGTTCTTCTCCAAATGGCAAGCCTACAAGACCCTGGCTGAACAGCCATCCCCCTCAAACTGTGGCCTTCTGTGTTTTTCAGGTCTGGGGTTTGAATCCGACAGGTATTTGCCACTTCAATGAGTCGGTCTTTCAACCCTCCAGCGCTTCAAAGCTTCTTCCCAGGGTGATTTACGTCAATGGGTTGCCTCCATCCCAAGTGGCGATCAGCTCGACTCGCGTTTTTTCAAACTCCGAAAAATTTGAGCTCAAGGCCATCTCTCCCGCCAGGACCTGGGTGCAGCGGAAGAAGTTGGAAACCCCGGCGGTGCGGGGCATCAGCACCTGGGACCAACGACGCTTTCCTGGTCGGCCAGTGAGAAGCCCATGAGGTTGAAACCGACATCTTGGCGAAGAAAACGTCCCCAAAAAGCCACTTCGCCATGTGAGGGGCGAAATGCCAAGGCCAAACCGCCTTTCGATGGGTGAAAATGGTCCCCATTGACATGGGTGTTGCTGGGATATATTTATTTTGTTCGGCGCCGCAAAGGGAGATGCAGGCATGTCTAAAACGAAGGCTTGGCGGGTTTTAATTTGTGTCATGCTGATCTGCAGGAATGCAGCCACGGAAAGATGACACGCTCCTGTATGATAAACTCTGAGTTTTTTTTTTGTGGTCTCATACCAAGTTTGGGGAGGATTCGGAATTCCAATTAGTATGGGCCACCACTAAAGGATGCCAGTCGTAGCCAGGCTTCGTGTTGGAGCTTTTGGGGGAGATGTTGATCGAACATGTAGGCCAAAGCAGCGGCCTTTCTAACGACTAATCCCAGGTTCCCCCGAATTGGTTTGGATTGGTGGTTGAAATTTGGATTCGAACCCCTGGTTCTTGTTGAGAAAAAGCGGGAAATGATCCGTCCTGTTTGAGGGAAGCTGGTTTCCCCAACAATTGGACGCCCGGCCTTTGGGCCAGTTTGGGAGATGCCTCATGAGTCGTGGCACCTGCAGAGTTACAGAGTTTTCTGCTTGTTTCAAAGGCTGAATCTTTGAACAAAACATTGAAGAACTGGCACTACCACCTTGTCCAGCCCAGGTCCAACATGGCCATGGGTTCATGTTGGGCCCATACAAGGACAATGGCCGGCAAGAATGTTTGTTTGCATTTCGGTGCGGGCAAATGTCTCCGCAGGCTGAACTAGCAACAGCTTGTAGCACCATCCAGCCCTCATGGCTCGCCCCTGCATTCCCCCCAAAAACATATATTCCCCGAGCACCATGAGCATCAATGCCAATCTTATGGCGAGCTCTGAGAAAGGCTCTTTCCTTGGGATCCAGTTCTGAATTCAGCTTTTCTTGCTGAGGGCATGACCCCTTGAAGCGCGCCCTCCATTTCCCATGGTTCCCTTTGCTTCGGGACATGGGACTCCCCAAACTCGGAAAAAATCCATGCATTTCGCCTCCCCCCACCTCTCGCACGCGCAGCGTCGTGACCTGAGGTCTTGGCATCAGGTCTGGGGAGTGCTTCGGGCTGCTTGGGCCCAACGGCGCCGGGAAGACCACCACCCTGGCGGTGCTGACCCAGCCTCAGATCCATAGGTGTCCGTTTTGGTTGTGTCGGCTTAAAAAACTAAATGACGATTCCTGGTAAATCCAGGTGGTTTACTCATCAGGGAAATCCGAATCTAGTGGTCCCAAAAGGACATCTATTGCTCCGAAAGCCGCCGAAGCGAGCGCTTGGCTTTTCGTCTTGAAGAAAACGGCGCCCCTTTGAGTGGCTCGAGAAACCTGGAGGGGTGCTTGAAATGAGTTTCCACTTCTGGGAAACTTTCCCTTCAAGAGCCATCTTTTGGACAGTTTTTTTTGTGTTGGACACTTGGGCTTTGTGGATTTGTGGATGCTCGCGCTTTGAGGAGGGATTCACCAGCAATTCCCCTTAGGGATAACTTGAGAAGTTTAAGTGCAGACCTCACCCCTCCACCCTAGGGGCCATTCCACAACCCGCCGCATGCACTGAGGTTCAGGCTGTTAGGATGGGGCTTGCGTTTGCATCACTTGGGGGCTGATCAAAGGTCCTTTTGCATGGGGATGACCATTCGGGAAAGCCACCAAAATGACGATCATCCCGAAAAGGTCTACATTCAGAAACCAGCCCTTTCGGGATTTGCTTTCCAGCCTGAACCTGATAATCTCTACTAAGTCGGAAAAGTTACCCATGGCCAAAACTGGGGGATTCCTAGACGCAACACAGATCAAGCCCCCACTTCTCGTCGCCATGGCGCGGTGAGCTGCCGGGACGAAGCGGACGGACCACAAGCGCGGTGAGGGCGCAAGATGAAGGAGGCCTTCCGGGCCACCAAGGAGATGCTCCGCCAGGCGGAGCGAAGAAATTGGGAGAGCAATGATGACATGGCCTCCTTGGTGCAGGAGGATGACAGCATTTGGACTGCAATCCTGTTGGTTCAAGCGCTTTTGTTTTGTTTTTTCTCCTCCTCTGTCCTTTCAGAAGAATATCTGTTTTCCCACCAATTTCCCACCAAGCCACTATTGTGTTGGTTCAAGCGCCGTTTTTCGTTCTCTTGGGAAAAACGTGTGTTTTCCCGCAAATTTCCCACCAAGCCAGCAAACAGTCATACTTGTTGTGGCGGCCGCAGAGGTATGTCACCTTGCCTGGGTGGATTCAATCAAACGCAGACGGTGTCCAACCTGCTCATGCCCACGCTGTGCCCAGCCTCGCTGCCGTTCCGGGAGCGCTTAGCTCGCGCCGTTCCAGCGGCGAACGCGGATAAAGCCCTTGTCTGGTCAAGGCTCGCTGCCGCGGAGACTACGGAAGCGCTGGCTTCGGATGAAGCTTCAAGCTTGGTAGAGGTCAACAGCGGGGGCCACGTCTCTCTACTGCTATTGGGTTGGATCTTTAGACTTTAACTTTTTGGATTCCCCTCATACTTCCTTTCAACCAGCAAGAAGTTTTAAGCTTTTTGCTGGGGGATCTACAGCACCCAAGGTCTTTTTCGCCCTGCTGAGCCGCCTTGGCGGGGGCGGGGAGGAGGCCGTGGTGCTGAAGTTCTGCAACAACCGCTACATCCTGCAGTCCGAACAGATGGCCGCAGAGCTTGCGCGCCACCTGGGCGTTCCCGGCCCAACCTCCCGCATCCTTTTGAAGCAGCACGACACTTCCATTTTCTGAAATGAATATTTTTGATTTTCCCCTGTTGTTTTTAAAGGGAACCTATCACTACTGGATACATTTTTATTTTTCCCAGGTATCTTATTAACCAAATGGAAGGACAGCACGGAGTGGCAGCAGCTGGCGATGCATGCGACAGAGGTTTGCCCCTTCCTGGCCGAGATGCTGGAGAAGCAGCTCGCTCGGCATTGGACTTTTTGACTTGGCCATCCTCAAAAAGCTTCAGCTTTTGCTTCCCATTGGACCAGGGCCAAGCCTCAGAGCCTCAACGCCTCAAAGGTCCACCTTTTGCACTGCTGTTTGTCCCCGAAGATTCCAAGGAAGGTGTCCATGCTCCTGCTGCAGTTCGTGCCCGGGAGCAATTTGGAGCATGAGGACTGGGAAAAATGGCGAGCTCACCTGCGTAAACGAGCGAATACTCATGAAGGTCCCCTGTAGGTTCCTTATATCAGGTCTGTGAGTTATAGAACATTTGCCCAGATATTATATGTGGTTGAGTGAAACATGCGGTTTGTGGTCAATGTGGGAGGGACATGGAGAGGCTCCAAAGTTCCTACCACCTAAAAACCAGCTTTGGAACCCATGAGGAGGTGGCCTTTCAGCCAGAGAACTTGACCTCCACGGGCCAAGCCCTGGGTCGGCTCTTTACGCTGGACCTGCTGTTGGGCAATGCGGACCGCCTGCCCATCCAGCCCCTTGACGCGAATGGGCCTCAAAGGGCTCGTCCTTCTCGAAATGGGCTCGAGCGTCTCAATGGCTTCCCAAGAAGCTTGCGGTTTCTGAACGGTGCGAAATGGATGACTCGTACCCATCCACAGTATATCACAGTTCAACTTGCTGGTGCGATACTCGTGGGGGATGAGAAAAGGAACGAACCGTGTGGAATCCCCGAATAAAGGAAACCCCCCGTTGGACGGTTTTCGTCCTGGTCATTCCATGTCTCCTCTACTTGTCGCACCAGCAATTGGACGACGTCTTTTGATGCGTGTCACGTGCTTCGATGCCTTTCGCGGGCCTGGCATGCTCAAATCTCCGGGCGCCCAGGTCCCTGGGCTGGCGGGGGAACCCTCACAACGTGCTGTGGGGCGTCGGTGGGCGCTGCGTGCCCATCGACGCCGCGGTCACCCGGCGCCCCCCCAAGCTGTTGGTGCGGGACATGGACCAGAAGGCGAGAGAAACGAGGAGGGGCCTGGGTTGTCCCCGTTCGGTAGGGACAGCTGTGAGACTTGAACGCCCCAGCACAGATTGCAGGCCCTTGAAATTTCCTGGCTGATTGGTCGCTAGTAAGTTGGGTTGGTCAATGCCGTAGCTGTTTCCAATCCAAAAAAGGCACCATTGGCAACCAGTACGGGTAACTCAAGACACAAGCTCAAGTGACTCACAGGAAGCAAAGTGGGCACACACTGTCCATGGACATTTGGGAAGCCAAGGGGCCAGGGATGCATCAACTTCTCAACAGCAAGCTCAGCAAATTGATCAAGTATCAGCTTTTGCGCCAAGTTGGGTTTGTTTGGGCGTATGGTCCCTACCAATTCGTTTTCTGTGATGCTAAGACACCGGACCGACGTATTATTCTGTTGGCTCGGACCGCTCCGCCTCGCACCTCGCAGCCTCGCAGCCTCGCAGCCTCGCAGGCGGCGTGGCTCTTAGAGCTGGCGCTCTTGGACCGTGCCAGCGCGCAGCAAGTGCTGCTGGAGGTTCGCTTTTTCTTGGCTCCCAGCCATCCGGTTCCTCAGCTTTTTAGCCTTTTAGTGTTTAGTGGTAGTTTCCATTTAACACACTAAAAGTTTAACTTTGAGCGGGGAATCTGAGGGCCCAGATTTGTTTGTTTCGTGCGACGGGAAATTATTTCAGGGCTCCCTTGGCAGATTACACGGTGGTTGAAATCGAAATCCCGAAAAACCGCACCGAAAAATCAGAAACCATGGTTGAAACCATAGTTTTTTCTCCCTCTACGGTATTTACTGGCAGGGGCCCAGGGCGCAGACTTTGAACATCCCTTTAATTCTGCCAAAACAACAGAAGTCGGGTCGCGAACCTTGGCATGGGGAACCATGTGTATCACATGCGGTTGGTAGGGTGTGATGCCGCCCAAGGGTGATGTCATAGTGATCGCCAAGCATACGGTGGATGGAGGAAATTCACACATCGCACCACTTTGTGAGACATGAAACCCTCGAACTGGTGCGAACTGGATTTTTTGTCCACACTAATTCTCCCTTTGATGCCATGCAACCAGCGGAAGTCAGCTCACCGGCTTCTGTCTTCTCGATTCTTTGCCCTAGATAGGTACTTAGAGCCCTTTTTACCCCCCAAAAGCCATCAAATCAGGTACCAAGAAACCCTTGGGTTTGGTCCAAAGCGGTGAGCTCTGGACCCGCGGCTCGAGCGAGTCTCGCCGTCTCGCCGTCTTTAGGGCCTCCCGCCGGACGGCCGCAGGCGGTGAGTTGCAACCAACGCGCCGTGAGGGCGGTGGAGGCGGACTGGGCGCCCAGTGAAGCGGCCTGGGCCAAGCGCCAGGCGGGACGCCGCAGCCGACCGCCGACGGGGGTGGGGGATGTGACGGGAGCCCGGGTGGGGCGCCAATTGGCGTGAAACTTATTGAAGGCTTAAGGCACATTGACGTGTTCTTTGGTGCATTTTGCGTGGAGGTTAGGGCTTTCACTTTTTGCCATGGGGTTTTCCATTAAACCAAAGTTAAACTTTTAGCGGGGGAGCAGAAAGCAACGGAGTCAGTCTGTTTATCATGCGGGGAAGGGGATGACTAAACCACAATGGGAAGTTGTGCCATCGAACTTTTCGGCCCCAATCAAGGAGGGCTTCCCCAACATTTCCATACAGGGGAAATAGACTCATGATCATGTATGGAGGGGAACCCTACGTTTATTTTTGAGGCTGGAGCGGCCCTGGCGGCTTTTCCTCCGGGCCTTGCCAGGATGGCAAAGGCGGCACCAGCAGCGTCAAGGCCTTCAACGAGGGCGTGAAGGCGGCCCTGGCCGAAGTGGTCCAGGAGCAAGGCTTGCTGGAGATGGTGACCAACGTGGTGGAGAGTTGGATCGAGAATTTCAAGGCCGACATGCCGCTCGGTGAGTCGTTTCTGCTTGACTCGGCTTGTTTTGTCGGATTTCTCATTCTGAATCGCAGGTGTCAGCCCACCTTCCTGATGTCAGGTTTGTTGTTGTGAGCTCCGGGTTGATTTGTTCACCCGGCTTGGCGAATGGAATCCCGGTGAACGGGGCTCGAAAAACGAGGAAAGAGGTGCGGCCGACTGGGGAGCTGAAGCTGAGCGCTACGGTGGAGCTGCGGGATCTCAGCAAGGAGGAGCCCTCCACTCGCCCTCTCCGCGTGCGTGCGCTTTTGAGGGAAAGGGGCAAGCGCAACGGAGAAGCATTTGTTCCTTAAAGGAAGCCAATAGTGGATGTGTTTGCTTTCCGGACCTATGTAGCACAGGCTTGGCTGTTTTTTTTTTAAACGGTAGATGACTAGGCCCGAGGGGAGGGCGATGTGAGGGCTGAGTTTCACTTGCGGGCACTTGGGTGGACAACGGTATATGTCCGCCAACAAGTGTTGACAGCGTTCCCTGTTTCAGAAAGACAGCTAGAAGAAGGCAATCTTGAACTGAGCTTGTTTTTTTTGTCGAGGGCTCCCCTTGTTCGGGTGTTTTTTGTTTCTTTTTGAGGGAAGCCACCTGGAAACCACAAGCTCGGGGGGCTTGGGGCCATTTGCATGGTACTGTTGGACGAAATCCTGCACCACCTAAGAACCCTTGGAATGATGATTTCCTTGTAAATACCAACGCGTTATGGTTTCAACCATGGTTTCCAAGTGGTGCGAACGGATTTCGCAACCATCCACAGTATGGAAGGAGAGCAAGCCCGACGTCTTCAAGGAGCGGCTGGCTGCATGGCAGGACCTTCTGCGGGAGAAGAGCCAGGCCTTAGCTGAGGCGGTGGACGAGTGGGCGGCGCGCAGGAACAAGACACCCGGGCAAAACTCAGAGCTTTCCCCTCGTTTTTCCCCCCAACAGCTGAAAGCTTTGGGGTCTCAGCCCAGATAGGCTCCGGGGTAGTCCGGGGCGGCCCTGAGGTAAGGTTCCACGAGGGTTCCACCAGGGTTCCACCAGGGTTCCACCAGGGTTCCACGAGGTTCTGCGAGGGTTCTGGGAGGGTGGGGTGCTGTTGGGGATATCGCCTGGGCTTTGTTTCTTGGTTTTTTCTTCTTCTTTTTTTACACATGTTGTTTGTTGTATTTAAAGATCAGGGTTGTTCTCTGTGTGTTGATTGTTTGTTTGTTTCTTTTTTGGTATTTTCTGTGATGCCAAAAGGGGTTAAATCCCTTGGCAGCAGCCACCTCATGATGCCAAGGGAATCCCCTTGCAAGCAGTCCCTTTCCTCTCGTCTTTTCTGGCATCACAAGGGGGATGATGCCCCACAAGCTTCCATTTACGAGGGAGTCACCCTAGGTAAGCCTTAAAGCGTCGTGGGCTTCCCACCCGGTGTTGATGGCTTTTGGGGGTAAAAATGGCTTTTTGGGGGGTACCAGGAAACCCTCTTGGCAAAGAATCAAGTGGACTGACTTCGCTTGGTTGCATGGCATAATCCATCGTCTAGACAAAATCCATTTCGACCCAGTTCGTAGGTGGTGTTTTGCTGGGACAGGAAACGCTCGGGATTTCCCCTGGTTACTGAGGAAAGCCTCCTTCTCCTTCCGGGGCTTTCTGGGTGAAAGCGTGCTGAATCCGGTGGCGGACGCCTACGAGCTGTTGGCCCTGGCCTTAGTGGCAATTCAGCGAGTGACGGGTCAACCACCGGAGGGTATCACAGACAAAAGGGGTCTCTGTGGGGTCAAGTGACCATTTGAATCAAAACCTGGGTAGATGTCGACCACCATTTTAAGATCCCAGTTGTTGTTTTTTGTTTTTTCACATTGAGCCACAATCAAAACATGGGTACCATGTTTATATCAAGTGTTTTTTCATGACTCAAGTGGGGGGTCAAGCCGACCCCGCCCCCCCAACCCGCCACCTCGACAAAATCGGAGGTGCGGCTGAAGCAGCTCACCAGCCGCGTCAAGGTGGTGCACATCGCCGGCTCTGTGGCGCGACCCGCGGACCTGGGGCCAAAGGCGGCAGCGTGGCGCATGGGGTGCAGTAAGCAGCGCTACATATACTTGACTGCTATTGGGTCGGATCTTTAGACTCTAACTTTTTGGGAAATCAAGGTGTTTTCCACCAAACCTCAAAAAGTTGAGCTCTTTTTTGTGCAGGGGGGTCAACGGCAACCAATGTTATGTGTAGACAGTCAGACATGGAAATGCAGCATGCACAAATTAGATAACACACATTATATATATATATATATGTAATATATATATATAATATACCTATAGCATATATGTGCAATATATACATATATGTATAGCTTGACCAAACCCGAATTCCCAAAGATTGGCATGTGGCTTTACGGATTGGACTATGCGCTTTACGGATTGCGGATTGCACAGATATTCAATGCTCAAGCAAGATTTCAATTCGCACTTTGCAGTGCGGATTACGGATTAATAAGATTACCAACCAAAGCAAGGATGGATTGTGGATTGTGATTACGCCCAAGGGGTTTTGAAGAGATATACGTAAATGTATGTAGATATACTGCAACAAATACATCAGAGAGAGGGAAGGAGAGGGATTTCAGCTCAGGAGGGACCAAGAGCCATTCTGCCAGCATTTGGCATGACACATTCTCCCACAGGTGTTCGTTTTTGCCCTCAAGCGTGTGAGACTGAGACTTCCCCATGAGCGCGGTGAATTGTGGATGCTGTTCGCTATTCTTTGCAGCCGACCGCAGCCAGTGGAGGCTGTTTGCTATTTGTGTGGGATTGTTGTGGGTGGCCTTGAAGCAACGTTTTGAACGGTATTCCCATTAATGAATACAACTGATTCTGATGTATGTATATACCATCTTGTTTGCACATAACGGTTTATTTCCGCACATCAACGCTTCCAACGCTTCCCTCCACCCCCCATTCTGCAGGCGCCCCTGCTGCTGGGCGGCGCGACCAGCCTTTGCCTGCATTTGCTTCGGAAGCTGGGCGCGACGCACATCCTGAACTGCAGCTTATGGTGAAGACTGGGCTGGGAACTGCTGGGGTGACCACCGGGGCGACCAAGTTTCACAAAGCCATGGGGCTTCCATGTTTTTTAAAATCCCCTGTTGGTTTTGAAAGGAATCGATCACTACTGGACATATTTGTATTTCTTCCGGGGGCTTAAGCAAATGGAATGGGGGGCAATGGCTCATCCACTTTTGGGGACAAAACTCGGAGCCGGCTCATGGGCAAATTCGTTCCAGTGGGATCTCAGCCTTCCTCAACACACGTGCACGCTGTGTGGCTTCGGGCTCGTCATGCTTTGGTTGCTTGAGGTGTTGGCCATGGCTTGCTACCAGTCACCGCTTTGGGTGAGGGCACTTTCTGCGCATAGGACGAAGATTTCTCTGACGCGCATCTCAGCTCCCTATGTTTGAGTCTCCTTGGAGCGCAGGTTGTCGCCTGTCATGGAAGCACAACTTCATGGCCAAAAAGTCAGGGGATTTCTTGCAGCAATTCCCAGGTGACTGTGAAGGCGTGGTATCTGAATTCGCCCAGCACCCACCCCACATGTCAAATGAGACTTTGGGTGATACTATGTGGGGGTTTTCCAGGTGGTTTCATGGCGCCACCGCGAGTTGTTGCTGAGTCACTTCGCCATTGAGTAGGGGGGCTACCAGCAAGCGATTTTCTGAAGCATTTTGGTCACCATTATGTCAAGGCTTGCTGATGACTAGTTCTTCCATTCCACAAGCTTCAGTTCAACGGGTGAATTCTAGGCCAAACATCAAGCAGGTAGTTCGGCCATTCTCTTGTTGTATGTCTTGCTTGTTGGTGCTCAGTCGGGAATGTGGGAATGAACCCAGAGGTCCCCTGAAGGGAAACCACAAGGGATGGAGCAAAAAAGGGTTGTTAAGCATGTCTCATTCCTTACCTATCGCACCGGCAAGCTTTCCAACATATGAGATCTATGTTTTGGTTCTGCCCTATACATCCAATAAGTGTATATATATATATATATGTATATATGTCCTTCTCATAAGATTCGTATTTGTTCCCCTCGGGTTTTACCGACTTTCACCGGTGGCTCCGCGTGCAACTCCCCATGGCGTGCAGATCTGCCCCCCGCCGCTCCGCCCCGAGCCGCTCTCCGAGAGGCACGGAAGATCTGCCAGCGCCGTCCGAGGAGGAGCTCGGGGAGCTGCGATGGGAGCGCCTGGCACTGCCGGATAAGGAAGACCAGGAGTCGCCGAAGCTCGAGCTACAGCTCGAAAAAGCACACACTCCCAGCAATTAATGAAGAGGGACTTGCTGGAAAGACTGGCTTGATTAGCTCCAAAAGGGAGAAAAGGGGGGGCCTGGCAAGGGAAACCCCCAAACCAGAGAGAACCGAGCCAAAAAGAGAAGATCCAGAAACCCCCAAAAGATCAGGGGACACCAAAAAGGGAGGGGGCAACCGGGAAACACAGCTCGAAAAACGCCAACTCCCACCAATTAATTAACAGGGACTTGCTGGAAAGAGTGGCTAAAATGAGGGTTCAAGTAAAACGGGCAAAAGGAAGAACGCAACAAGCCATGTTACTGTCCCTCTCACCCTTTTCACAGAAGGAATTTGACATTCGGAAGATTGTCCCTTCAAAGGGAGAATGGTCCAAACCAGAACCCCCCCAAACGTCAGGTTCCATGTTAATTGGTGGGCGGGTAACTTTTTTGGCCCGATGGCTTACCAATCCCGCCTCCCCCCGCTTTCCCATGTTTTGGACAAGCTCTCGGCCTGTGTTTTGCCATTCATTTTCTTCACTCTCGGCGTTCAGTCTCACTCTCCTCTTGCTTGACTGAGCGCAGGACTTGATGCCAACCCTGCAGAAGGCCAGCTTTGGGCTTCGGGAGAACTCAGGACACACTGCAACCATGTTTGGGAGTTAGGGGCTGACCAGACATCGTTCAAAAGGGATCAGTTGGCCAAACTCTTTGTCCGGTTCGCTGGGCAACAGATGTACAGGACCTTCAGCTCGTGTGGTTTCCCCTGGCTCAATTGGGAAGGTCCCCGAGGCTCACTCGAGCCACTGGGAATCAATCCCTGCAACTGTGCAACCCAGTTCCTCCTCATGGAAGACTTATCCCAGCTCATGGAAGGTGGTTTGTCCCAGTTTCATCTTCAGGCCGCGAACATTTCGCTGCAAGGGTTTACTTTGAACGCCCAGGCCTTGGAGATCATTTCGGAGGCCGAGAAGGGAGGCGGCAAGGTCTTGGTCCACTGCCACGAGGGCAAGAGCCGCTCGGTCTCCGTGTGCCTGGCGTACCTCATCTCCCAGCAGCGCCTCCCGCTGTCGGAAGCCTTGGCGTACGTCAAGTCCAAGCGCCCGCAGGCGGGCCGAAGGATGGCACAAGGCAGGCGGGCGGGCCAGGCAGATCTGGTTTGGGCGCTGGGATTCCTTGACTTCAACGATTGGGGTTCACGTTCACTCCTTTTTGGAGACCAACTCCCGGGCAATTTCAGACCCCCATGTAGAAGCCGGACATTTTGGCGCGTTCCATGCTCCACTTTCGGTGGACCCAAACTACGTCTCAATTGCCATTTCTTCAGGGGCTAAACGACGCAGAAAACCTCAGCTTTTCGGCCAGGACTGGCCAGGACTCCCCGAAAACCCACCAGATGCGCCTTTGGTTGAAACTCCGGACCCCTGCAAATCCCCGGATTTGCAAATTTCCGTGGCAATTCTCCTGGGCCTTGCTCTCCTGCCCCCCGAATTTCCGGGCCCCCGGACAAATTTCCGGACCCGCAGACCACCCCCTCCCACGATCCCAGAGTTCAGATGGCCCCCCCGGACGACTCCCTCCAGACCCAAAATGCATCCCCAGATTTTCCCGATTTGCCCCGGGAATTCATTCTCCGGGACCCCAGGCCTGTCCCCCCCCCCCCCAAATCCCAAATCCCCCAAAATTTCACGAACGGACCCCCAGACCACCCCCGCCCATCCCCAAATCCCCCGCAGGCCCGGCCCAACGCGGGGTTCCTGCGGCAGCTGCTGGGCCTCGAGCTGCAGCTCCTGGGCCGCGCCTCGGAGCTGCCGGAGGAGCTGCTGCGGGGCAAGCCCGTGCTCAGCTCCTCGCGCTCCACCTCCAAGTGACGCGCAGACAACCAAAGTGGCCAGTGGCTGAATATTTGATTGCTGGTTTGGTTTGGCAGGCAGGCAGGTTTTTTGTTTTCTTTTTTAAAGGGAATGTTGACCCAGGATGAAAGTAAGGGGTTTATTTATCCACCAAAGCGCCTGGGGGATGCCATGGGAAATCGGATTCAACGGGAAACCATTGCATGAAACCCACAAAACATCCATGGGGAAGTCTGGCGCAAACCGGCTCTTGTTCACTGCAGTACCGTTGATATCCCTCCATACCATTATTGTTGACCCGCCAGTGCGTGGCTGAATATTTGATTGCTGGTGTGGTTTGGTAGGCAGGCAGGTAGTTTTTGTTTAGGTAATGTTGACCCAGGATGAAAATACGGGGTTTATTGATCCCGGTCAACATTAGGGAGGGCCGCGGCTTTGTCGGAGGTGCTCCAAGGACCGGGGAAAATATTTGGCAAGTTGTTTTGGGAGGTTCTAATTCCTTGGTTTGGTTGGGAGACAAAACAAGGAGACCATTATAACCATATTGGTCGAAAGAACGTATTTGGGTTCTATGGATGGACGATATCCAGTTAAAATTGGCGGTTAATCCCGGTTTTCATCTGTCCCAACTGCCTTTGTTCGACCATGGCCCTGGGCGTTGGACACTTTTGGCCGGTCAATGCGTACCAAAGGCCAAAAAAAAAGCCGTCTCCACAGATTCACGGCCAGTGGCCTTCGCGTCCGAACTGCGGGCCGTGGGCAAAAAAGGCAGCGTGCCAAGGTTTTGCTGGTGTGAGGCAGCTGCGTTGGTACTGTACGCTGGCCGATGCATATGCCGACCCCTCAAAACAAATGGTGAACTGCAGTGCATACAGGCAACTCGCTTCGTAAAGGGGCAAGACGCAACGGCACGCACCACATCTCGTTTTGCAATGGTACCCATGCAGATGTTGATAAATGGACCGGAATGCTGTTTACACAGTCTATTCGATTTAGACTTGTGCGCTTTTGGGGTTCTTTGGCGGCCAGCGCATCCTCGCAGGTAGGGCAAGTCGGCATGCGTGACTCGTGCTTTGGGCTGACCTCTGCCCAATCACGGTAAAGTCAGGTGCAATGCTGGGCTACCTTTTTTTTCTCCGATTGGCGGATTGGGCAAAGCCCGCAGGGAACAGCACGAAGCAACCCCCCTCCCCCTCCCCCTTTGCCCTCTATAGATTCACAGCTGAACCTGACTAAGGACAGGCGAGGTACGCCCTCCCACTGCTGGCCAGGCAAGTTGCGTGACATTGGACCTGACAGCAGCTCCGTTTGCCCCGTGAGGTTCGCATCTTGGGCCATGATGTCACCACGGTGCAGGGCATGCATGAGGCCACGATGCGACGGGTTGTCGTGTTGCTTCCGGTTGGGGCTTTCTTTTTCTGTTTCAGCCAAGGTGGGCAAGCGGAGCTTTCTTTAAAGCATGACTTGAGCTTGCTACATCTTGGCAATTCAGTGGATGGACGAACTCCTGCACTTAATCCTGAACTGATGATTCCCCGTTTTCCACCAACAAAAGTTATTATTCTTCACCATGATTTCATCTCGTGGTGGCGATTTCGGGATTTCGCCATCCCACCGAATTGCCCCAGTTGCTCCGTGGCAATGTGCCATCCAAAGAGTCGCCCCGTCGCTGGGCGGCGTAATTCAGCGCCTCGTGAGGCCTTCAAGGTGCTGGGGGTGTGCCCGCAAGCCGGGGCCCCGAAGAGATCGGTGCTCCAAGGCGCTGAGACTGGACCTGCCCAGAGGCCGCCCAGATTTTGCCACTTGTTGTGGGGTGTTGGGGTCCCCTTTAAACTCAACCAGCCCCCCCCCAAAAAAAGGAGATGCCTTTTTGTGAGTTTTCTCCCATGGAAATCCAATGACCAGGTAGACCCCCTGTGGGAGTACCTGTCCGCGACGGAGCACTTGCTGCAGCGAGCTTTGAGATCGAGAGAGTGGAGAGAGCCAGGACAACTAGGTCTGAGCAGGAATATGGGAATGGGTCAAAATCCTGAACATCCAATACCCACTAAAATAGACTAATGGGTGGTGCACCTACCCCGAAATGGTACCGTTGGTTTTGACCCATGGCCATATGGGAATGGACTCCTCACCATTCCCACTAAAACCCAACGTTCATTCCCCCTTGCTATTCCCAAGGCACAGCCAGGACGTTTCGATTGCTAAGCCATTGCCTCGTGAGGTTCTTCGGACGCATCAAGGGTGTTCCGGAGGCAAGTCAGCTGCTGGGGTGATTTATTGGAGGGCAAGCTTAAACGAAGGCTAAGACAACACAAACAATGTAATTTCAGTAATATAATGATTACACAAAGCATGTCGACCCAAAGAGATACATACAAATATGCACGCACATGTGCGAGTGCATGCATGTGGTTGCTTCGTGCATGCAGTCATATGCACTTGCAGCATCAGGGGCGTCATTCCTCAGTTCCAGCATGGAGCACGATATGTCGAGGGTGTGGGCAGGCAGCCTTGCCCGACACCATCAAAGCCTTGCTCTACCGCCTGGGCTTGGACAGTGCTGCTGGCTCGAGTCGCGAGGGGCCAATGGCGCTCGACGTGGATGGGGGGGTCTACGGGTAAGCGTTGTTTTGTTTCTCCTATTTTGGGCGGTTTTGCAGGATGGGCCCGGCCCTTCAGAATTTCCACTACATGGATCCGTTTGACATGCAAACTCCTTCGGGCTAAAATATAACCGGAGACTGGTAAAAGCGCTTTTCGCCGTCTGACGGCTGGAACCCTCTAATACGCCATTTGTTGACGGCTCTTTTATTTTTGGCTGTGCCTGTTTTTTGGGGCAAGGCAACAGGGGTTACGCAGGTGTTGGTCCATGTTTCCACTTGCCAGGCTTCCATTTTGGGGCCTGTTTTTTGAGCCGCAGCCATATAATGCATTTGGATGACTGGCAGCCGTTGGCTCAGGCAGCCGCAGGCCCGTTTGGGCGATTTCAGCCATGGCGCGACCCATAGAGGCGCGAGTGGACCAGATTGAGGCCGCGGGCATGGCTCTGGTGGCAGACGGCACGCGCTTCTGGATGAATTGGCAGCTTGGCGTGTTGAACGGCACGCGTTTTTGGATCTCTTTGATTTGTTTGGTGCGGGGCGGGGGTTCATGAGGAGCCTTTTTGTGCATTTCATCTCTTTGAATTGTACGGGGGCAGGGGGGGGGTTCAAGATGAGGAGCCTTTTTCGGGATCACGAAAAGGGCCGCAACAACGCCTCGATGTTTAAAAGAACTTCCTCCAGGCCGCTCCTGGGCTTATCGGACGTGACCACCAACTGCGACTGCGCTGTGGCGAAGTGGCGCATGCACTGCATCGACCCGGGCAGCAAACCCGGGGACTTCCACGCCGGGCCCCAAAACTGCTGCACCCTGCAGGCTGAGAAGGGAAAGCGGCTGGCACCCACCGGCATAAGCCTGCGAACGGGCGTGCTGGAGCTGGAATGCCGGATTGAAGCTCGGCATGTAGGACCTTTATTTTTCTCATTTGAACAGTTGTGGTTGTTCTGCGTGACCTTCAAAAATGGTACTTGGCTGGAATCACGTAGTGAACAAGGCCATGTTTTCGAGCTTGGGCCAACGGACAATTGATGTCCGTGCCAGCCTTGCAAATTCATGGAAATTCATGCTGATTCGTCTCGGTTCCAATGAATCACCTTTCCAAATGGTTTTAGGTGCTTTTTGGGGCGGCTCCATGCATACCTATAAACTCCAAAAGGCGAAAATTTCAGCCTGAGACTCGAAAAGGCGCCTTTTGCCGTCCAGCGGCGGAACTCGATGGGGACCTGGTTGTGGCGGTGTTTTTCAATTTGCGACGGCGTTTTTGCGGTTTGTGGGCATTTTGCCTGACGTGGGCCGCTTTGCAAGATCTGCGCACCTGACCGCGACTATGCAACTTTGCCAGGTTTTGTGCTAGGCTTTGTGGGTTGGTGAAACTCGGTGCGACCTGTTGGAATACCCATCGAGCTTTACCGCCAAATGTGTTGACTTGCACCGGCGGAAACCTACGTCCCGACGGCGGAAACGCGCGTCCCGACGGCGGAAACGCGCGTCCCAACGGCGGAACCGCGCGTCCCAACGGCTGAACTCGAGATCGCAACCGCTTTCTTGAGGAGTGATCCAGGTGTCACAGATCGACCAAAGCCGCCTTGCAAGGGGGCGAGAGTCAGTTTTGTGCTGTGTTCAGCGCTTCATGTTGCTACCTTCTGAGACTGCTTTGCGCCGAGGCCCTGAGCTGATTTGGATCAGCCAGGGGCCAACGGCGTTTCTTGCAAACTGCCGGCATTTCTGGAATTCAACGGCGTTGTTTTTGCTGCGGCGGCAGAAGTTCCCGTCCAAAATCACAACGGCGTCTATTTTAGCCCGACGGAGTTCTCAGGTATATATATATATATATACATGTATACATATATATATATGCATGTATATGTATGAATGATTCTAGCTTATGAAGCACTGACACTCGCAGTCAATGGGGGTAGATGCACAGCAGCTTTCCCAGTGAGGAGCGGGGCGCCCTGCTGACTCTGGCTGCAGACAGGCGCCGGCCCACATCCCTGCAGCTGGCTGAGCCTTTGAGCTGTTGCCTGGATCACCGGCAAAGCTTTGACAAGGGGGCCGCAGTGCCAGTGCTGCAAGCTGATGGCGGGCCTGCTAAGACTAGCATGCTGCCTGTGACGTCAACTCAAACCCTAGACTTCCAAAGGACATTAAATAAATGGCCGAGGTGGTAAAGTACATTTTCTGGGAAAAGGCCATTTTTTGCTTAAATTTGGTTGGATCATGATTTTCACGAAAATCCCACTTAAAAGTGGCTGGAAGGGGCTGCGCGGTCCCATCTTGGCGAGCTTGAGAGTGCTTCGTGCGCTTTGCACTGCCTTCTAGAAGCCAACGTCAGCCACGGGGCACGGCTCGGGAGCTGTTTATTTGATATATGCATGTACTGGTCCAGCATACATCCATCGATCCATGCCTGCATATTTGGCGCACAAGTCTTTGATTGCCCAATTGCCAAGCCAGAAAAAAGCAACAAAGTCCTGAGAAGTCATGTGCCGCGAATTGACACCAAAATGGTGCAAAAACGTGGTGTGCAGAAAATGTCTTTTCTACGGCAATAAATGGCCGTTCTACGGCAGAAAATGTACTTTCTACGGCAGAAAATGTACTTTCTACGGGTTGTCTACGGTTTGTCCACGGTCCCTCTCGGTCGCAAGCAACGAGCAACGAGCTCAACAAATCTCGGTTTTACAACTCGACCTGATGTGAACATCCTGATTTTGCAATGTGTTTCCCCTTCTGCGGAATGTGGTACCCCTGACTTACACCTTACTTTTCGTAGCGTTTTTTTTGCTTGCCTATGGTTTTCCCGAATGGTTTGCCTGTAGTAGTTATGTCTATGATATGTCTACGGTATGGCTATGGTTTGTCTATGGTTTGTCTATCGTGTCAATTTGCCCTGATCAGAGCACTTGAAGAAATTGAGCCCCCATAGTGGATGCAAAAAATGTCCCTTCTCGAGCAAAAAATGTCCGTTGTCCCAAGGACATGTGTTTAATGGCCGAGGAAGTTCTGGGCAAAGTAGTTGCTCAAAGCGAATCGACCTTTCGACCTTTTGGTTTTCGCTTGGTCCATTTTTAGTAGAGGGCGCAAAAGGTTAACCTGTTACCAGACCTTTCGGCAAGTGAGTCAAAGTTTGGCTTGCCAGCTCCAGACTTTACACTCAGGCCATTGCTTTGCGGCTTCAGGGTGCTGAAGTGAGGCTCTGTTAGAGTATAGGGTGTAGTCTCTTAGTCTATTGTCATTTTGGGGGGGTGGCGGGGGGGGGCCGGGGGGGGGGCCGGGGGGGGGGGAGGCATGAGGCTTGGTCTGCACATAGGGTATGGTCGTGTTGGGCCATGGCTTTGAACACTCGAGTCTCCCCCAAGCCAACCCGAAATCCACCCGAAACCCCGCCCAAAGAACTTCTAAACGGAGCTGGGTGTGGCGCAATAATTTAGCCTGAGGGGCAAACCGCAGGTCTTGGTCCATGTTTCCGCTTACCAGGGCAACATCGGGCAACCCATTTTGGGGATTCCCGATTTTTTTTGCGAAACGGCCTGTTCCAAGCCTCAGGTCCTGGTGGGGCGCGACCACCTGCAGGGCACCCGCTGCGCATCCAGCGCGGAGCTCTACGCCATGCGCTGGGGTGCCTTGGTGGAGCTGGAGGCCGCGGCCTCCGCAGTGGAGAGCAACGACTCCCGGCTGCTCTTCGATGTCCCGGTGGCTTGGGAGGCAGCCAACTGCCCGGGGGTGGGCAGGGTTTGTCTGCTTTGTTTGCTTGTATCGTTTTTTCTTCTTTCTTTTTTTATTTTTGGTTTTTCCGTTTGTGCGCTTGTTTGCTTGTATGTTTTGGCTGGGGGGTGGGCTGTTTGTCACTTGGTCTTCCGTTCTTCCGTTTGTCCGTTTGTTGACAATCAAAAGTCGGGGAACTGAAGGTTAGTAAGGGCTTGGGAGGCACTGGGTTCATTGATTTTGACCATGTTTGGGGGTCATCAAAGTCGGAAACTCGGGTGATTCCTTTCAAGCTACCATTGAGGGGTGACTTTGATAATTGTAGAATAATGAGGCCAGAGGCAACTGCCCGGGGGTGGGCTGTTTGTCACTTGAGTCACGGCCTCAAAACCCGGGTAAGCGAAAGTTAGTAAAATCGCAACCAGAAATCGCTGCGGCCTTCTGAATTCGTGAAGCATGGGTCTGGGTCCACCATTTTAATGCCCGGGTTTTGATGTGACTCACTTGGTCTTCCGTTCTTCCGTTCTTCCGTTGGTTTGCTGGTACGTTTTCTGTTTGTCACTTGTGTCACGGCCTCAAAACCCGTTGCTTGCTTGCTTGTATATACAAGTTTTGGCTGGCTGTCTGAGGGCATGTGCCCTCCAGGAGCGCAAGACCTCTGCGCGCCGGGGGGCGTTCACGATCTCGGCCTCGCTGGCGAAGGGCCATCGCCTGAAGCTCCAAGCTCAGGGAATTTCCTGTGGAGGGGGGGGACAAGGGGTGGTTCTAGGGGTCCCAGAAAATCCCTTCGTGCCTAAGGAGGTACTGAGCGCCCCCTTTTCTTCCCTAGAAGCCATCAAATCAGGAGGTACTTGGACCTCTGGGTGGGGCGGGCGGGGACGGCAAGGGATGGTTCTAGGGGTGCTTGTTCCAGCCGTGAACCAAGATAACGACCACAAAAGCTGTTGGTGCACCAACCTCAAAAATATCCCTGACCAAGGTTCCGGGGTCTCTTGGCGCGGGGCGGGGAGACCGCCTCCTCCTGGCTTTGCCTGCGCTCGGATGTGCGCACCGCGCACGCCCGGATCGTGCAAGCCGGGATCTGCGAGGTGGGGAATGGGAAAGGAATTGAGTTGTCGAGCTTCTCATCCTTGGAGAGGAGACCCAAAGAACAAACAGCAAATCAGTGAGATTCGCAGGCAACCAAACAATGTGCACGCAGAGCCACCTGCAAATTCCGTGCTGTTTTGGTCCTGGTTTTGGAGCGCATGCCTGCAAGCTGGCCTGCTCTTTTCCTGTGCCAGCTGTCACGCACAAACGGAAAACGTCCCAGCACTCTTCGCAAATCCTGGAGCCCCAATCTAAACTTGGTTGCAGGTATGTGCTTCAAAAATCGATAGCTGAGAACGCACGACTTATTTCTTGACCTGGCTTGCTTTGACTCTCCAACTTCTTCCTGTTCATGATTCCCTCCTTGTGTGCAGGATGGTCAGCAGCTGACCTTCGATGACGAGGACACTGCCTTGAACGACAAGAGCCGCAACTCGATCCGCGTGGCTTTTGACATCGTGGGAGATGAGGGCCGGCAGAAGCTCACGGATCCGTATTTGGTTGCTTGGTGGCTCCCAGCCATCCCCTTAGCTTTTTAGCCTTTCAATGTTTAGTGGCTTCCATTTAGCCCACTAAAAGTTAAACTTTTGGCGGGGGATCTCAGGGCAGCCCAGGTTGAATACATTCCAAAGTCGCTGTCCCACAGCTGCATGCACATGGCGCTCGCGGAAATCAATCCGCCCGAGCGGGCGGACGGGCTGCCAGTAGCGCCCCTGCTGGCCCGGGACATTGTTTTGGGCTGGTTGCCAAGTCAGTCGGAAGAGGACGGGGACAATTTGTCGAACTGGAATTTGAACTTTGGTGGTTCCCAGCCATCCCCTTAGCCTTTTAGCTTTTTAGTGTTTAGTGGTAGTTTCCATTCAACCCACCAAAAGTCAAACGTTTAGCGCGGGATCAGTTCGGGCAGCCCAGGAATTGCTCGCAAGAGCTGGCGATTCGCCGCGCCTTGGCCCGCCACTTCCAGCTTCTGCATGGGCCACCCGGCACTGGCAAGACCCGCACAGCCGCTGTGCTGATGACCATCTTCGCCCAGAGGAGAAACTGCTAAACTTGGTGGCCGATTGCAAGTTGGGAAGAGAAGGTAAGGAGGCCTAAAGGCGGCCTAAAGCCTTCTCATTTTTCAGCCATAGACGCAAGGCCAACCCATTTTCTGGAGATTTGAAGGAACCTCGGGGCGCGGTGCGCCATCCTCTTCGGTGCACCCACCAACCGTGCGGTGGATTGCGCCCTGCTCTACACCAACCAGCTGTGCGAGGCATACTTCGCAGAGCGTTTGCGGGCGCGGGTGGAGCAGGATGGCGAGGCGGATTGTGCCATTTGCTGCTGAGCAAAGATTCGGACGTCGAGGTTCGAATCGACGCCGGGCCACGTTTTCCAACAAATTTGGGCTGGTGTTACACCTCTAGGTCCCCCAGAGTGCCCTTGTACCAACTTTTTTGGGGGAGGGTTCCCCTATTAAAACAGACTGCAGAAAAATGGGTACCCTTAGTCTAACCTCTCTACTGGAGGACCTAGTGTTTGAAGGGAAACGAAGGAACGAAAGGAAGCCAATCATTTTGATTGGGTTTCCAGTTGATTCTGAACCTCCGGTTGATGAACAGGACGGGGGTCGGATCTGCCGCTTTTGACACACCTCAATCAATCCATCAGGACCCGATATGCCTCATGCTCGATCGACTCGCACGGCTCCAAGATCCGGGGATGGAGATTGGACCCAAACTGTTCTACGGTTTATAGGTTGCTATTTGCCACTCTGATGATCAAACCACTTCTTAAGTGTAATATAAATATAGGGTAAGCCTGTTATCCACGTACTGCCATGGTTATACCTAGGGTATAGCAATGAACCATTATGACGGTTCTAAGAGTTCTTCCCCCTGTTGCCCACATTCTGCCATTATACAGAAGTCCTACACTTTGGTGCATTTTGCTTGGGTGTTAGGACTATAACTGTTTGCCAACTAATGGGAGCCGAAAGCAACCGAGCGTTACAGCTGTTCATACCCTACTTACATGGATTGGATATGCCAGCCGAGGCTTGGAACAGCAGCCTGACATCGTCACCGCCTGCGGCCATGTGTTCCACCGCGAGTGCCTGGCACGCTGCCTCCAACAAAGTGGTCAGTGCCCGATGTGCCGGCAGGTCATCAAGCAGCCCCGGGGGGGTTCCATTGCCAGACTTGCACACCGTTTTTGGTCCTTTCTTCATAATGGTCCATTTCTTCAGCACAACCACCTCATGGAATTATTCCGGACGTGCACACCTTTTGGTCCTTTCTCTGCCTTTTGGTCCGTTTCTTTTGTGCAGTGACTGGTCCTTTCTCTACCTTTTGGTCCGTCTAAGCTCAACCACCTGACGGAGTTATTGGACCTCCCCCGTTTTGGGCGGGGGAGGGGGGGCTCTCGGACTTGTTTCAGGCTTGCGGATGCTCCGCATCTACGGGGCGGACGCGGAGCGGCAGGACTTCCCGGTGCCGCGGCGTGTGGAGCACGCGGGGGTCCAGACTTTCAAGGCCTGGAACCCGCCCAAAGGCTGGTGGTCGGGGCTGCGCCGGAAGGGGGCTGGAGGTAAATTGGGCGAAGTGGGAGCAGCGGGAGCTACCATGAGTTCTGAAACGGAGGTCTGAAAGCGCATGGTAGCATGGAACCTGGAAACTTAGGGCTTTTGGAGGACTCTGCGTTTGGTGAATTTAGTCATGGGTTCCATCTTAACTCTGCAGGGAGGAAAAGCCATATATGCAGTTTTGGTGTGGGTGCAGAATGGGGCCCTTTGACTTGCTGGTGCTTAGGGACTGAGTTATGACCCCGAACTAAACTATCCATCCTATGGTTGGTTCATTCCATTTCTCATTCCCTGGGTTTCGCACCCCCCCTATAAGCCATCCCCTATGGTTTCCTTTAAGGGAGTCCACCTTGGGTGATTCCCAAGACCCTGGGGTCATTCCCTGCCTCTTGCAGCAAGTCTAGGCCCAGTAGTGCCCTTGTACCAACTTTTTTGGTTGGGAGGGTTCCCCTACTAAAAATAGACTACAGAAAAAAAGTTGGTGCCCTTATTCTAACCTCCCTACTCGAGGACCTAGAAGTTGCCTCGACCCCCGCGGGAAGGTGCAGACGGTGCCAGAAGAGTTGCGCCGCTTCGCCTGGCATTGGCGCTGCCATGCGGCGGTGCAGGGGGAGGCGAGCGCGAAAAGGTGAGGCCCCCGATTGATCCATGGGGAGGCGTTCTTGGTTCCGTTCTAGAGGCATGTGTTCAGCATATGTTTGTGTGTTTGGTTCTGGTTTCATTTTTATTGGGCTGCAAAAAATACAGCAATCTAAAGTTGCTAAAGTGGTTTACCTGCCACCACGCCAAGGGTTGGAGGGAAGTCCTCAAGAAGTCCTTGGGGCCTTTGGGCCCCGGGCCCCTGCGCGTCACTGGCCAGGAGCCAGGCGCAGAGGCGGTGGAGTGCCGCAAGGCCTACGACCGGCTGCGGGCGTGCCAGGTGCGGTCGCCGGACTTCGAGGAGCGCCGGGCGGAGTACTACGCGGCGCTGCAGAAGCTCGCTGGGCATTGCCTGCGGGCATTTGTTTCTTCTTTTTTCTCTGCTTTTTACAAATACAAATACAAAACAAAAAAGCAAACACAATGGTGAAACGAGCTCACTCATGAAGGTCGCGGAGGGATTGGTGAATTCGGCTGGCAGCCGCTGCAAATGGATTCGCTTTGTTTACAATTGAGCCATGTTCAACCACATAAACCAGTGTGAATCACCCCACATCGTAGCAACCTCCTCAGAAAAATGAATGGTATCGTGCCGATTTCCTCTTTCCAAACCTGGTCCACAAGAAGTAGCCGGAGAACCCCTGGCGCCATGCTTGTGGAAAGCTGGGTTTAACACAATTTATGTGATACTGTGGATGAAGGAAATCCTTTTCGCACCACCTCAGAGACCCTGGTTTCGGCTGATTCCCCTGTAAATACCCACAAACGTTATGGTTTTCCATCATTTCCAAGTGGTGCGAAATGGATTTCGTCCACCCAAGAAACAATGGGAGACCATTTGTTTGTTGGGGCGGCCCAAACTTTCCCAGAGGGTCCAAGTGCCTTCTAGGGAGGTAAACTTTGAGCCCTTTTGTTACTCCCCAAAAGCCGTCCTCAGGACTTGGACCCTCTGGGATCTCTGGGTTTGGCGAATCACCATCCACAGTACCATTTGGGGCGGCCAACGCCTTGTGCTAAAGACGACTCCCCGAGGACGGCCAGGGCCGCTGAGGTGCGCCAGGCGGACGTGATCTTCTCCACCTGCGTCTCGGCGCGGCGCAACGCGCTGCTGGAGGCGCTGCTGCAGAAGTCCGCGCCGCAGATCCGGCAGGTGGTCATGGACGAGGCACCATGGGCCGTTGCAAACCAAAGCTTTGGTGCATGTTGCTTGGATGTTAGGACTTTAACCTTTTGCCAGCTAGCGGGTTTTTTCCATTAAACCACTAAAAGTTAAACTTTTAGCAGGGGAGCAGAAAGCAACCGAGACAACAAGCGGCCTTGTGGACAGATGTGAATTCTCCGAGGGGAAGAAGCGCTCCCTGACCCGAACCAACAGTTTGTGAAGCTCTTCCAAGGCAGATGCTTCAAAATTGCTCCCAAAACGTAGCCAGTCTAAATTTCGATTGGAGGGACAACATCCTGCACCATTCAGAAACCCAGGTTTAGGATTCGATTCCTCAACGCAAATACCAAGAAGTGGTTTCAATCATGGAGTCAAAGCGGTGCGAAGTGTATTTCGTCCATCCACAGCATTGCTTCAGTGCTCGTGCGATGTGTCCTGCCATCCAGAGTTGCAGTCACTGGGTTCCAACCCCAAAAAGTCCATGTACCTCCTGATGATGGCTTTTGGGGGGTAAACCGGGCTCTAGGCACCTCCCTAGAAGGCACTAGGATGCTCTGGGACCCATGGTGACCCATTTCGTGGCGCGGTCTCCGTCAGAGTCTGTGAGGCGGGCCAGGCTCCAGAGCCGGAGGCCTTGTGCTTGCTGACCTTGGCCAAAAACGCCCAGCACGCGGTGCTCTTCGGGGACCACAAGCAGCTAAGGCCCATCTTGCGGAGCAAGGCCGGGCGTGGGGCGTGGGGGGGGGGGGGGGCGGGTCTCTCCGAATTTTGGGTCTCGGATTAAAGAGGGCGTTGGTCCCTGTTGGTTTCCGGGAAGCGCTTGTTTTTGAAAGTCTGGGTAACCAATGCGAGTTTCCTTTGGACGTTTGTGACACTTCTGTTTTGTCTTTGGTAGGTCACATTGGGTTTCGCTTACCAACACCTTGAATCTGGCTAAGGTGGCGGAGCAAGCCGGCATGGGCAAGTCCCTTTTCGAGCGCCTAGCCATGGCCGCCAGGGGCATCGACGACAGGTCCAGCTGGGTGTCGCTTTTGGCGGAGCAATATCGCATGCATCCGGCCATCAGCTGGTTCCCAAGAGAGCGGTTCTACGGGGGCCGAGTCTTTGGAGCATTGTGCCAAGGGATGTCAGGACTTTAACTTTTTGCCGACTAGTAGGTTTTCCATCAAACCACTCAAAGCTAAACCTTTTAGCAAGGGCGGCGGAAAGCAGCCAAACAGGTTTTAGTGGGAAGCCCTATGTTCAGAAAACACCCCACTGGCAAGCAACCGGGTTTATTCGGCTGCTGCCAGAACCACGCACTGGTTCCCGAGGAGTAAGAGACCACATCTCGGTCATGCAAAGCTCCAGCCTGCTGACGCTCAGAGGGAAAGAGGCGCCCTTCGTGGTTTGGGACTGCCCCAGCGCCGGCGAGGACCGGCATGAGACTTTCTCGTGCTAGCACAAAACCTTTGGTAGTTGTTCCACTTTTTTCAAAGTGGCTATGAGTTTTAATAATCAAGGGACCCTTTGGTGGACATCCTTTAGGTGGGGACTCCTGTCCACCAATCACTTTTGAGGTAGTTCCCCATTCAAAACTCTGGCCAAGTGAGTCTCCCTTCAGCGGGGGGCTGCCCAACTGGGGCACATGAGCCATCCCCTTGGCCTTTTAGCTTGTTAGTGTTTAGTGGCAGCTTTCATTTAACCCACTAACAGTGGTTCACTTTTAGCGGGGGATCAGTTTGGGCAGCCCAGAAAACAACCCCCCAAGCGATAGGAGCCCCTGCCAGGAGCTGCAGCGCGTGCGCACCGTGGGCTCCGGGGGCGTGGGCTCCCGTGCTAACGTCCAGGAGGCCTCGCGCGCCGCTTCCCTGGCCGCGCGCCTGGCGCGCAGCTGCGGGCAGCGGAAGGTGGCGGTGCTGTCGTGGTACAACAGCCAGGCGCGGCTGAGACAGGTGACGGTCTCGAAATTTGTCCAACCACTGTGATACAAGGGCAATCTCCTTGAAAAATGGGGGGGGGGGGGTTGGACTTGTGACGGACTCGGGGTTGATACAAAGGAATAACATGGTTTATCTTTGAAACACCATTTGTTTTGTGTCACAGAAGTGGATTCCATCTCCCACAGCCCTGCCAGACTAGGTGTCCCTTGGGCCCGAGAAGTGGATGCCATGTTTCCGTGTGAGACCCCAACCATGGCCTACGGGTTGCTCAACTCATTTAGAGTGGGCCTTCTCAATCGCCTCACTTGAGAGAGGCTGGACTTTCGCCTCTCTCCCACCATGGCACACAGATTTGTTTTTTACCCGAGAAGCTGATCTAGGTGCCCTCCCGCAGGTGCCATGGCAACGTGGGAAGGGTAGTGACTTTTTCGAAGCGAGAGGACTGGGCGGAGGCCTTTTCAGAGCCTCTCTCTGAAACCTGGGCCCTTTGGAAACCATCCGCCTCCAGTGGAAGCAACCGCTTTTGGCAGGGAGTGACAAGTCTGGAGGGAATTTGGCAGATTTCCTGACATTTCACGCTGGTGGCTGATGTAAACAGAACGTTTCGGGCCATTTGGAACTTGGTTTCCTTGCGTGATGTTTGCCATTGGGATATAGAAGGACCATACCATGCCCGTTAGACCCACGAGGAATTTTTGGACTCCAACCGGTTTCCTCCCAGCTTGCTGGTACAGGTTCAGGAAGCCATGAAATGAGGGCTTGATATGGGGATGCCGTTGCTAGGCCGCTTTTTTTGAGCCCCTGTTTTTCCAGCGGGCATGTAGAGCGCGGGGGAAGTGGGAACCAAAGTTATTATTATTTTTTTCAGAGTTGTCCATATCCGACCTTTGGGTTTTCCCACCACTAGGTTCCAAAAGGTTCGCCTACGGTTAACCAATTTTAGACTCCGGCAAAAAAAGCACCTTCGCTGGGGAAAACCCGCGCCACTCAAAAACCCATCCAGAAGGAATTGTGTCAGGAAAGTGGGGAAGCACCAGAATTGCAGAAGCTGCCTCAACAAATGCCGGTGCTCAATATGTCCGCCAAAAAGAATTGGGAGCTCCATGTAGCAGGTGGCCAAGGTCACGGACCTGCTGCGCAGGGAAGGGCTCCGCGGAGTTCACGTGGGGAGCATTGCAACGGCCCAGGGCAGTGAGTGGGATTACGTGCCCCGGCGGGGCTTGGAAGCCCCGGTCCCGGCCGGTTTCGGCTTGTGGACGTTTCCCAGGGTCCAAGTACCTTCTAGGGAGGTACTTAGAGCCCTTTTCACCCCCCAAAAACCATGCTCAGGAGGTACTTGGACCCTGGGGTTTGGAACGGTTTGAGTTGAAAGGGATGTCTGACATCCCGAGAAACGAGTCTTTGACTTTTGGCATGGGTAAGAAACGGGACCACCAAGGTGATCCTGAGCACGGTGCGCGGGAAAGGCGGCGGGCGCTTGGGTTTGCTGTCTGACCCCCATACCATGAATGTGGCGCTCACGCGGGCACGGCACGGCATGGTGGTACTTTGTGACACCACCGCGTTGGACGAGGACGCCGACTGGTCCGAGCTGTTCCATCACGCCCAAGCACGCGGCCTGGTTACCAGGGAGGAGCCTGAGCTCCGGCAACCGGTGGCACAGGAAGCCTTCGAGCGAGAGCAGGAGCCAGGGGTGGGCAAATGTTGTCTGAACAAGCTCCCCGAGCCCCCGTATCTCAGAGCACCAAAAGCAGATTGCTTAGCCAGCAGGTGCTTGCACATGCTTAAACAGGAGGTTGGGCAACCCGCGCTCTCACGTTGGAGCGAGAGCAGTAACAGAACTCCTTCAAGGATTCAAGTTGGCCATCAAAACATGGCCGTTTAGGCGATGGTATGGAACACCTTCTAAGGATGTACTTAGAACCCTTTGTACCCCCTAAAAGCCTCTGGGGAAAGGGAACCAAAGGAAATGGAGGGTTTTTCTTAACGCGAGGTGACGGTTTCCACCTAAGAGGGAAACCCAGGACTTTGGAGGTAATCTTCATCCCAGAGGGTCCGAGTACCTCATGAGGATGGCTTTTGGGGGGTAAAAAGGGGTCGTTCAGTACCTCCTTAGGCACCAAGGGACCCTCTGGGACTGCAATTCATTCCACCCCTGAGAATCTGCCACTTTCGCAGCCTGAAGCATCCGAGCTCCGCCCCTTGACGAAAGGACAGGAGGTGTTCGTTTTTTTTCCCCGCGAGGAGCAGCTGGCCACTCTGCTGGCGTCGCTTCTGTCCCCCAAGTCCCGCAGCTCCAAGTCCCGCAGCCCTCGGCGGTCGCAAATGGAGCGCGCCTGGGGCGCCTGACCACTGAGCGGGCTGGGAACGTGGCAAAAACAAACAATCGGGGCGCGGGAGTTGCTTGGTTGAGCACTTCCAGGGTCTTGATATATAAAGGGCCCAAACAACATGCGGATTCCCGATGTTTTCGGGCCTTGGACAAGTTATGGTCCAGGTCTTTGCGAGCGAAAGCGAACCAAAAAGAAACCAACCCACTTCAGAGGCTGCCTTTGCCGCGTTCCCAGTTTCCATTCCCATCTTCCCGAATTCAATCCAGTTGGCTTGTGTTGGTCACCAGCCGTTTCGCGGGCTCGGCGGCTGCCGACGCCCCGACGCCCCGCCGACCATCTGAACAGTTGGCAGATCATTTTCGCGCGTGCGCCAAAGAAGTTCTGCTCGCTGGCCACCCAAAGACGTCAATGATCATAGAAGCCGACCGCCGAGCGTTGCCAGGCATGGATGCCAAGAGGAAGACCGTTGAGTGCCCCCTTCCGGGCGCAATGGCGGCATGGCGCGTTCTCACACACGAGCGTTAAAGAAAGAGGCGGGAGGCAAGTATATAGGGCAGGCCTTACGATGTTTATGCGCGTCTTTCCCTGCAGTTTGCGTCGAAGGCGTAAACTGCTCAGCTAAAAGATGCCCCCAGAATGTGATTGGCCAACCCTCCAGGTACAGTGGAGGCATGAAGCGCGCAGCGCTCAGACACGAGCCCCCCCTTCTTTGTACAACCGAACCCTACCCTGTGGATTACCACCGTTCAGAAACCCTGGAATGATTCGATTCCCTTGTAAATACCAACAAAAGTCATGGTTTCAACCATGGTGACTCATTTCGTGGTGCAGAATTTCGTCCATCCACTGTGGAGCCCAGCTATAAAACCTAGTATTGAAAGGAGCCGGTACCGCAGCCCCTTCCGGTTGGAGTAGCTAGTCACACGCGGGACACCAAACGCAAAATGGTGTTGTCCTTTGAGTGTTGCTTTGCAAGCAACTCCAAGATACTTGTCCAGGGTGGGCTAAACATGGACCAGAGTCCTTTCTTTTTCTTTCTCCGGATGTGCACCAAAACGGGTACCGAGTCCCCGTGAAAACCCGAGCGAAAACTGGGGGCCCCAGGCAAGCTGAGCCTGGCGATCGCGCTGATTGGGCGCTCGCCTTTGCTCTTCCTGGACGAGCCATCTGCGGCGGTGGACGCCGGAGCCAAGCGCCACCTCTGGAAGGCGCCGACGGGGACCCGACGAAGTCGACCCGAGGGAGTCAAGGGGAATGGGGGCAAGAGGTGGAAGGGAGCTGGAAAGGAGCTGGATCTAAGTTTGCCTTCCAAGAGGGAGCATTTAAGGAGTTACTAGGAGTTCTGCAAAGGCACATGGAAATCGGAGCTTCTGAAAGATGCTAGAAATCAGACTTCCTGGGCCAGCGCTTGCCGGGATAGAGAGTAACCATTGCCAGGTTCTGGAATCAGGAGGATCGAGACTCGACTTGGTAGAGTGCTCCAACCCCAGTGTACGATTTGATTCAAGGCCCTCTTAGACTAGGAACGTTGCCTGGACAAGGACCAAGTTTCTACCATTGTTTCAAGGTTGGGTGCAACCCCGTTCGTTTGGGCAGGGGGCAAAATGGATTTAACCCCGACCTTCAACAAACAAGCTCAAATTTCAGGACACTTGATTGAAAAGCACATTAAAATGAGGCTAAAGTGAGGGATTCTTTCCATGTCATTTGCCCAGTTCGATGTTACGTCATGTTGAAGGTTTCCAGCTTACATGGTGCCATGTTCGGATTGGACATGTTTTTTCAATCCCCATAGAATGGTACACCAAAGGGTCAGCTTGAACAATATACCTACTGTGGACAAAATCTGTTTCGCACCAGTTGGGATGGATGAAGTCCTATAAATAGCGGGACGCACCACCTACCAACTGCAGGATTCTGTCCATCCACAGTCATGTAAGGACTCTGGCAGTCGGAAAGCCGCTACTGCAGCTGACCAGCTTCAGGTGATCCAGAAGCGGGGCCGAGAACAGACGGTGGTGGTCACAACCCATTCCATGGAGGAGGCCAGGCAAAAGGGGGGCCACCAAAAGCTGGCAAAGAAAGGCGATCTGTGCAAGCCATGTTTTTTGGTTGGCCTTGGCGGAAGGGTTGCACAGGTTTGGTAGTTTTTTGGCGGAAGGGTTGCACGGTTGTTTTGCCCCGCCCTGCCGAGCCGGCTGCTGGAGGTTTCACTGCAAAGCGTGTGCAAATGATCGAGGTTCCAGCAGGCGGCACCTACGTGATGAATGTTCTTTGCTTTGGGATCCTAATTCAGCTTGGAATTTGGTGATCGGCACTCTCTTTTTGGAAAGTGTCCTCTTTTCTCAGGGATCCTGGCCCCCGTTTGTACCATCACAATCATTTTGGTGGGATTTCTTCTACCGCCACTCGGTGACGGTTCCGCGCATCAGGCTGAGGCGCTTTGCAATCGCATTGCCATCCAGGCGCACTTGGGTCGAACCGGATGGCAATCAAAACCTGGGTCTATAAGGTTAGTACAGGACAGTCCCTGCCATAAATGGCCATGGTTCAAAACCAACGGTACCATTTTGGGATAGGCGCACCACCCAATTTAGTCTATTTTAGTGGGGATTGGGATGTTCTCTGGCGGTACGGGGTTTTGACCCATGGCCAAATAGATGCAGCCGCCATCAGCCGCCCTCGCATTCTTTGCATGATTTTGGAATGAGGTTTGATTGTGAGTCACTTGGTGCATGAACGTGGCCATGCACCCGCAAGGGGTTACTGGACATTGCGAGTAAAGGCACATTCTGACATCAAGTCTGACCTCAGCTCGATTGCTGGAATCTCCTTTTGGTCAAAAAGGGACCCCCCTTTTCTCTACCGCTATTGGGTTGGATCTTTAGACTTTAACTTTTCGGACAATAAGAAGGGCGTTTTCCACCAAACCCCAAAAAGTGAAAAACTTGTTTGCCGGGGGTCAGCAAACCCAAGTCTTGGGTTCCATGTGCCGTTTGATCCGTTACGCCCCTTGACGGGTGCATCCTGGTGGCCTGGGTGGCCGTTCCGCGTGACTCAGGTCCGCGGGCAGCTCCGGTGCCTGGGGTCGCCGATGCACATCAAGCCAAGCGCCAAAGCGAGCGCGATCGCTGGTCGATGTCCAGCACCCTCCAAGGGTCCGTTGGTACCCAAAATGGCTCAAGGGCACTTCAGGTACAAGTGGAGCATTCGAGGGTGCCGGGCATTGGTAGCGAGCGACCCGGGCTCGTTTGCATCTCTGAATGTGCCAAGCCATTGCTTGCTGCATGGTGCATTCAGCTAGGCCATCAGCCCAGTCTGGCAAGTCGCAAGTTTTGGATCTCATTCCATTCACTTGAACTCATTTGGCGCGTTGCAGGTTGCGCACTGCCGGCGTCCTCTTTTTTTTCTCAGGTCCAAGTACGGATCCGGCTACAAGCTGGAGCTCTTTTGCGAGTGTGCAGGACATTTTGCAATTTTGGCACCTCTCCATGCCCATGCAGTTTGAACAGTCTGGTGCAGGGTTGTGGGATCAAGGGGTTTATCCCCACTTCTGTGGTACAAGGGAATCCCCTCTTTATATGGGGGGGTTAGTCTTTGGGAAGCCCTTCTTGTATCAGAGAATTGGTCGTTTCCCACAGCCCTGGTGAGACAACTGCCCTCCCCCTTCCCAGGACACGCCCAGGAGGCCAAGACGCAGGCTCGGGGCTTGATTCGATCAGCCTGACTGTGGCTTGTGAAGGTCAGAGCCAGCACTGACCGCCTGTTCAGTAGCAGCTTCCCTACTGGTTGTCAACCCATCTTCTACCAGGGTCATTGTGACCTAGTGCGAGAGATGCAGGGAATGAGAAATGGAGTCTGACCCAGTCTGACCCATCTGGCCCTGGGTTCGTTCCATTTCACATTCCGTACTTATCGCACCAGCAAGTTGCACTGTGCATACTGCGGATGGACAAACTCCATGTCGCACCACCGTTCAGAAACCCAACGGTTTCCCATTCGATTCCCCAACGTTTTTCCCCAGATAGCTGAAAGCTATAGGGGTTCTAACTTCTAATAAAGAGGGGAAAGTGATTTGCGAGATTGAGGGCCGGGTGCTAGGGGGCATGCAGTTTGAGGTGCTGGTGGATGCTGCTTTGCGAGCTTGACGGCCGGGTGCTAGGGGGCATGCAGTTTGAGGTGCTGGTGGATGCTGCTTTGCGAGATTGAGGGCCGGGTGCTAGGGGGCATGCAGTTTGAGGTGCTGGTGGATGCTGCTTTGCGAGCTTGACGGCCGGGTGCTAGGGGGCATGCAGTTTGAGGTGCTGGTGGATGCTGCTTTGCGAGCTTGACGGCCGGGTGCTGGGGGGCATGCAGTTTGAGGTGCTGGTGGATGCTGCTTTGCGAGCTTGACGGCCGGGTGCTAGGGGGCATGCAGTTTGAGGTGCTGGTGGATGCTGCTTTGCGAGCTTGACGGCCGGGTGCTAGGGGGCATGCAGTTTGGGGTGCTGGTGGGTGCTGCTTTGCGAGCTTGACGGCGGGTGCTAGGGGGCATGCAGTTTGGGGTGCTGGTGGGTGCTGCTTTGCGAGCTTGACCGCCGGGTGCTAGGGGGCATGCAGTGTGGGGTGCTGGTGGATGCTGCTTTGCGAGCTTGACGGCCGGGTGCTAGGGGGCATGCAGTTTGGGGTGCTGGTGGGTGCTGCTTTGCGAGCTTGACGGCCGGGTGCTAGGGGGCATGCAGTTTGGGGTGCTGGTAGGTGCTGCTTTGCGAGCTTGACGGCCGGGTGCTAGGGGGCATGCAGTTTGGGTGCTGGTGGATGCTGTTTTGCAAGCTTGACGGCCGGGTGCTATGCAGTTGGGGGTGCTGGTGGGTGCTGCTTTGCGGGTGCTACGGGGCATGCAGTTTGGGGTGCTGGTAGATGCTGCTTTGCGAGCTTGACGGCCGGGTGGGGGTCTGCTGGTTTGCGAGCTGGCCGGCGAGCTGACGGCCGGGTGCTCGGGGGCATGCAGTTTCGGGTGCTGGTGGATGCTGTTTTGCGAGCTTGACGGCTGGGTGCTGCGGGCATGCAGTTTGGGGTGCTGGTGGATACTGTTTTGTTTTTCGAGCTGGCCGGGTGCTAGGGGCATGCAGTTTGGGGTGCTGGTGGATGCTGTTTTGCGAGCTGGCCGGGTGCTAGGGGGCATGCAGTTTGGGGTGCTGGTGGATGCTGTTTTGCGAGCTTGACGGCCGGTTCTAGGGGGCATGCAGTTTGGGGTGCTGGTGGATGCTGCTTTGTGAGCTTGACGGCCGGGTGCTAAGGGGCATGCAGTTTGAGGCGCGGGTGGATGCTGCTTTGGTTGTACCGGGTGCTAGGGGGCATGTTTGGGGTGCTGGTGGATGCTGTTCGCGTGTAACGGTTCGTGGCTGGTGTATCGTCATGATGTTCCCACGTTATGGTGTGTGGGTGTAGTGGCGCCGTGATGCTGTCAACATCAGGATGATGCAGAATTTCATTAAGCTGTCGCGTTCGTGGCTGTGGTATCATCATGATGCTGCCTTTATCATCAGCATGATGCTGTTCGCATCACCATGATGCTGTCCACATCATCATGATGCTGTCCGCATCATCATGATGCTGTCCGCATCATCATGATGCTGTCCGCGTGATCATGATGCTGTCGAACTCATCAGGACCTCGTTTTTGCTTTTTCCTGCCGGATTGCTCTCAAAATCATCATTATGCTGCTGATCTCATTAGGACGTTGTCTGCGCGCTTGTTTCGTGGCTGTGGTGTCATCATGGTCTACATCATCATGATAATGCTGCGTCATGGTTCGTATCCGTGGTGTGCTATCTGGGGTCTATGCTGGTGTAATTTTAATCAGACGTTATGGGTTCAACCATGGTGACCCGAATTTCGTGGTGCGATGTCTGACTTTCGCCACCACCAGCCGCCCAGCCGCTCACGTCGACCCGTCAATGGCCATGAGTGGCCTTTTTGACGGGCGGGTCATGCTGTGGATGGACGAACTCCGTTCCCACCACATGGTTGAAACCACTGTTTGTTGGTATTTACGTTGGGGAATCGAATCCTAGGGTGCCTTAGGTGGATGGATGTCGCAACCATCCACTTTTGGGTCTTTCCCCACGGCGAGAGCTGGCCAGGAGCTCTCCGCGTTTCTGAGCCGCCTGGCGCCTGGTAGCTTCTTGGAGGAGCAGCACTCGGGGAGGCCTGGCGGAAGCCTTGCTGATTCTTGCCGAGGCGGCTTGCGATCCGTAGGTGTCCTTTTTATGTCCCTTTTTGGTTGATTTGGTTAAAGAAATAGAGGGCGATTCCTGGTTTGTGTGGTGGTTCAATCAACTACCAGGGCCAGCTCTATTTTCCCAAAAAGGACGCCTGTGGTGCGGTCCGTGCTCGCTAAGTAGGGGAATGGCCCAGGGTTCGGGAAGGAGCCGTTCGGGGATTCCCCTATTTTTTTTGGCAAAGGAAGCCACGAGGCTTGCTGCGACAAGCAGGGAATGTGGTTGAATGAACCGTTTTGGGATTTTCGAATGAAAGTGAACCACCAGTTGGATGGCTTATAGACGGGTCATTCCATTTCTCAATATTTCTCTTTCCCTGCTGAGCACCAGCAAGAAAATTGCGAGAGCACTTGCGAGTGCGTGGAATGTGCTTGCTCTCGTTGCACATGCGCCGCCTCAGTCGCTGGGAGGTATTTGTTCCAGCTGCCCTCGCTTGGAAAGGCTGGGACATGCTGCAAGGATCTGAAGGGCTTTGCTGGGTTCGATGCGAAGGGTCCTGAATCGCACCCTCTACCAGGCGTTTCACCAACTTGGCAGGCGCAAAACTCTCCCCCAGTTCCCCCAGGTACGCCGATAATATGCATGTTCTGACTAAGTGGGAGTGCCCCTCCAGTTCACGAAGTGCTCCAGACTCAGAGCCACGATGCGGTTGATCTCGAAGGTTACGGTGCCTTGTGTCGCGCTGCTTACGTGCCGCACCGCCGATGGCAGCGGTCGCTTTGAGCATGCGGTTGGGCTGTTGGGCCAAGGAGCGTTGGGTGCAAGCAATGAAACGGCCTGCTGCCCAAAAGGGCGAGAGCCCAAAACGCCCCCGCCATGGACACGAATGCGGGGACACTGGCCCGTCCCGGTATGCCATCACCTTCGGAGAGGTGGCGTTGTTGCACGTCGGCGGAAAGGAGCTAGGCACCTTTGGGCAAAACGCGTTTGCCTCAATTTCCCTGAGGTCAAAGGGAAACCAAAAGCCGGAAACAGGAGGAAACCACATGAACGAGGTGGGCTTTCCCTAAAAAAGTAAAATTTCCACCACCGCAAGCTAGATCCAAGCAAAAAGCAGTTGGTGGTTGGTTTTCCCCAAAACAAAAACGGTGGTGAAAAGTTCCACGCCCAGCGGGCGCTTGGCGCCTGGCGCCCCCAAGGCACCCTTCGCGAGAAGGGTTTCTCCGTGGCCGAGTTGCGGGAGCTGGCCTCCAGTCTGAGCGGTTTCAGGCGAGTCGATGGTCCCGTCCCGTAAGTTGGCGCGCACCGCGGCGCCGGGATCCTCCACTTCGTTTCTTTTGGGGTTGAATTTACTTTGAAGCAGCTGGAGGGCTTGCATTTTTGTTGGAGGTTTTATGCGGCTGTGGCGACTTGAATGGGCAAAGGTTCATGCGCGTGTGACAGGGAAATACTAATGCCCCGACTCAGAAGATTTTGCAGAGCCTTCTCAGCTCGCCCCCGCATTGTGAAATCGCGATGCCGAAAGCAGGCACAGGCACAGTGTTCGGCTTGTCCCTTGCAGGGTGGAGCTGGTCATGCTGAGCGATGCACTGCCAGAGAAGCACAGGAAGGAGAACGAGGCAGCCACTCTGGTCATCCGAAACGGCGCAGCTGCGTTCCTGGGCGGCGATGCGGCACAGAAGCTTCTCGGTGAACAGCAAGCCCTGAAGTACGACTTTAAGTACTGGGATGCCCGGCGCTCGCGCACGCTGAACAAGCGAGCTCGCTACAACCTGGTGTTTGCGGAGGAAGGGGCGCAGCCCTCGGCCGACTTCAAGCAGTACACTGTGCAGGCATTTGGTGGCTTGCCTCACCTGGCTGCATTCCGCGCCATGCTGCCACAGAAGCTTGGGGAGAAAGCCCGTGACCTGTGCGCGGAGGGCAACCATTACTTCGATGAATCTACCGGGATTGGCTTCCACGGGGACAGCGAGAGGAAGATCGTGGTGTGTTTGAGCCTAGGGCGCAGCTCTATCCTTCGATACTGCTGGCGCATGCCGGGCTCTTCTACCAATGGCCCGCCCATCGACATCGAGATCCACCACGGCGACGTCTACGTGATGTCCGAGAAAGCCACGGGCTTTGATTGGCGGAGCCGCTCCAAGGTGCGGGTGGTCCATGCTGCAGGCTCCGATAAGTACATAGGGTGACAGGTGACAGGCTGCTTTCTCTGTGGCGTATCTATCGCAAATGGGTATGCTTGTGGCATCCCATTGAACATGTGTCTAATGTGTCTGTTGATTTCTGGAGGATGCAATGCAGTTCCGCATGCTCAGTGAGAAAGAGCCCGCACCAACGGCCCCGCTATTTCTCGTTTCACCCGCCTGAGCGGGCCTCCTGTGCAACATGGGATGCCCGCCGCAGCTTAGCTTCCGCGCTGTACAGTGATCGCCTGCGGGACGTATAGCTCTCCCACGCAGGTTTTCCCAAAGCGCTTGGACCATTGCGGCGGCATGGGAAGTGGCAAATCTCGGAAAAGTGCATCTTCGTAATCTATCATAGGTTCCTTGTCAGAGAGTTGATTGCCGCCGGCTTTTCAACAATTCATCCACCATACTGTGGATGGACAAAATCCTGCACCACTTTGAAACCATGGGAAACCACTGTTTGTTGGTATTTACAGGTGAATCATCATTCCAGGGTTTCTGAACGGTGGTGCGGTTGATGGATTTCGCAACCATCCACAGGTCTCCTCCGCCTTTAATCCAGCTGTGCGTCAAGCAACCCGATAGGAATCTGTGAGCCTGGGCGTCATCTTCTCGGAGGCGGGCTATGAGGGAGGGGGAGACGCTGTGTTGAACAACCGTCCCTTGTAAGGCGGAAACTAAACGACAGTCTTTCTAAAGGAATCTGGTTTCAACTCGATTTTTGCCGGGACTCGGCAGATTCATGTTTTGGTCAAGTTGCAGAAAGTTGTTACCGGTACGAGTGAGATTCCTCTATCTGGGGCCGCGGATCATTGGGGGAGCACTGCAACCGAATCTTGGCGGGCCAGGTTCAGCAAAACATGGCCAGCTTGGGCCTCTCGGACTACTCCATCACCCAGCCATCGCTAGAGCAGGCAGGCTTGTGCCGCTTGAACGGCACACTTTTTTTTTCCTCTGGCAATCCTGACCAAGGCGTCAGCGTCCAAGGCGTTTGCTGCATTTTGCTGCTAACCGATAGTAGATTGTAAACTACACAAGCACCAATGCTTATGTTTGCCCCTTTGGAGCTTAAGAGCAGCTCGTGATTTTTTGGCTTTGATGTGGAGGTCTTCGTGAACTTTGCTCGGGAGCAAGAGGATGAGGACGCACAGGAAGCATAGGCGAGCGCTTCTGCCTCAGGGCTGTGCTGCGAGTGTCCATGTGCACATGGCTTCCCATGCAGATTCCTGAGTAAAGGGAACCTACAGTTGCCATGCCGCTGCGGATTTGCCAAATAGCAGAGAGAAAGAGAGAGAGAGAGAGAGGCAGGGAGTTTCTCATGTGGGCAGACAGTTATAGGTAGTTGTTTTTTTCATGACCCAGAGGGTCCAGGTACCTTCTAGGGAGGTACTTAGAGCCCTTTTTACCGGGTAAAAGCCATCCCCGGAGGTACTTGGACCCTCTGGGTGACGTATTCAAGGTAGCGGTGTGACAGACAGGTGAGTTCCTTGATCGCTTGCGACCCGACGACTGCCGTCGCATTTTTCGGCCGATTTGGCTCAGAAAGAAGCCGCCAAGGGCCCTTGGCCCAGCAAGGCCTGCTGCCGGCAGACTTCCATTTGCTTAATGTTGACCCCGGATTACTTCCATTTGCTTAAGACTATTTTTTTTATTTTCCCCTTTTGGTTTTAAAGGGAATCTATCACTACTGGATTTTTTCCAGGGAGGATTTATATGAAAGCCCTGTTTATTAAAATGGGGCTGACCCTGGTTTTAGTGGGGATCATCACTTTTGGAGGGGAACACCCCGATATGAGTGAACAGGGGTTTATTAATCCGGGGTCAACATTAAGATTTTTGTTCCCTTGTTGGTTTTCAAGGGAATTAATGACTACTGCTGGAAATATGCGTATTTTTTCCAGGGGGCTTGCGGAGCACGAGCTGAAGAGATTTACATTGGGCTGCAGTGCAGGCACCAGCTGGAACAGGGCAAAAGGGCTTTGTCACTTTGTTCCAGCTTGGGGGCACTATTCTCCTCTTCTGCTCTATCACCACCACTGCATATTACTTGTCAAAGGGCGGTGAGCAGTGCTTTGCAAACCATCGCTGAGTCTGTTGAGCCAAGGCACAGGTATGCCTCTTGATTGGGAAACAACCTCCAATGCTCCAGAGAAAAATAGGTTGGGAACAGATATCACAAAGGGTCCACCTAGACTCCAAAATTGGTTGGGAACCATAGGTGTCCTTTTTGGTTGGTTTGCTTAAAAAATAGAGGGCCCTGGTGTAGACGGGGTTTATTCCGCTTACCAGGGCCATAGATTTTTCCAAAAGGCCACCTATGTTTGGAACAGATCTCCATGTCCAAAGGGTCCAACACCAAGCGACAAACACTTCGGCCGCAGGACTGCGACGAAGCAGTCGCAGCCTGAGGCCATGAAGCGCATCACCGGCCTGGAATACCTGGACCTTCGCAACTTTGAGGCGCGGTTTTTGCCGAGAGAAAAGCAAACCGTCCCAGAGGGTCCAAGTACTTTCTAAGAAGGTACTTGACATTTGTTGACCCCCTAAAAGCAGTCCTCATGAGGTACTTGGACCCTCTGGGCGTGGTGTCGGGCACCGGGGTTTAAGCCCGTTCCACGGGTTCGCCGTGGATGAAAAGTGCGCAGCAGAACCCCCCCCCCCCCGTTTTTGGAGGGAGGCAGGTTTTTGATTTCAGCGGAGGCGCTGGAGAAGGCAAACCCTGGACCCGAGACCCCCAACCCCACTGAGTTTTTGGGGAAAGAAGGCGAGGGCTCCATTTTCATATTTTTCCCCACACGTAGGGAATTGAGGTGATCGCTGGAATCCTCGGAGTTTCCCCCCCGTTCTGTGCAAGAGACTCATGCTCATGTTGCGTTTGGAACAGGCTCACAAGCCAGACTGGATCAGACTGGCGTTTTCCACCCAGCGCACGCTCCGTTCGGTTGACCGGCCCTCCTTTTTCAGGATGAGGCTTGATTCCAATCATGCGCAAGCTGTCATGCCTTTACTAAAGGATTTCCCTGTTGCAAATTCAAGTAAGCCCTTTTTGTCTTCTCCTTCTCTTTTTCGTTTGTTTGTCTGTGTTTCTGTTTGTCTCTGTCTGTGTCTGTGTCCGTGTCTTTCTCTCTCTCTCTCTCTCCTTCTCTCTCTCCTTCTCTCTCTCTTTCTCTCGTCTGTCTTTCTTTCTCTCTCTCTCTCTCTCTCTCTCTCGCTGCATCTTTGTTTGTATCTCTGTTGTGTCTCTGTTTGTGTCTCTGTTTGTTCTGTCTGTTTCTGATTGTTTGCCTGTTTGCTTGCTTGCCAGATTGCTTGTTTGATTGCGCGTTTGTTTGCTTTCTTGCTTGCTTTGTTTTTTTGTTTGTTTGTTTGTTTGTTTTGTTTGTTTGAAGCTTGTTTGTTTGTCTGCCTGTGTCTGTCTTTGTGTCCGTTTGCGTGCTTGCCTCTGTATATGTTTCTGTCCGTTTTTGTGTTTGCGTCTGCGTCTGTCCGTGTGGGTGGGAGGGGGGTGTTGCGTGGTTAAAGCTTTCGCTCAGTTTAGCCCATGTATTTGCTTTAAAGCAAGGCCTCGCAACAAATACGCAAGTCACCCGCTAATGTGTAATGCTTAGGGCAGATGCAACTCGTCAGCTTGTCAAATGGGCGAGTGCTTTTACCAGCATCTTTTCAATTGGCCTCGGCCAGGATAGGGAGCGAAGCTCATTAGCGACTTCTCAGTTCGCGGCTGAGATTCCGGTGGTCAGGGGGTGGCACTCAGCGAAGGGGCCCAATGTTGAGCCATAACAAATACGTGACATCGGGTCCTTTTGAGTCAGTGGCGCCTGGTGCAAGTGGCGCCATTTCCTCCCGCTCAGACTGAGCTGAGCAAAGAAGCGAAACGAACAGTGGCACAGACTGAGGCCACACCTGGCCACGGAGTTTGATGACGCCCTGCGGCGCGCTGAGCGCGTGAGCGCGCGCGCGGCATGGTTCGAATCGGTTTGAAGTTCGGCCCCTGGGCTGGGGACTGTGGCATTTCGGGTCCCAAGATGCGCAGTGTCCTTTCGGTTTCCATCTCTGTAGCCAAAGCCCGGAAGAGCTTGGTGCGATAGGGGGGAAATGAAGGTGGCTGAATGAGCCGGAAGGATTGCCAAAGGGAAGCCGCCAGTTGGATGGTTTATAGACGGGTCTTTTCCATGTGTCATCCCCGGCATCTCTCCCACCCAGACTCATCCCTCCCAGAAAAGCCAACAGAAGCCAAGGCAGCCAAGTACACCACACCACCCAGAGGCGCCTGGGGCTTTCAATGGAAGACCCGACCCCTCCATTAGCCACCCCAGAGGTGGTTGGGGGTCTGAAAACCAGGTGAGAACAGGTTCTTTAAAGCCCCTAATTCAATCGGGAGTCAAAAGCTGGAGGTCGAACCTCGTGAATCTTCGTGCGCAGATCTTCCAGGCCGGCTTGAACCAACTCCGAAGTCCAACCGGCAGGTGGATTTCGGTGGATACGAATCATACTGTGGCAGGGTTCTATTTTTGACTACCTGCAAATAGACTTAAACACAGGGGTTCCCCTTTTGGGGTACATGACCGACCCCTGGGGTTCAGTCATTGTGGGGGTAGTGCAAAAGGTTGAACCCTGCACTGTGGACGAAGTCCATTAGCCGCACCAGATTGAAACTATGGTTGACACCATACCGTTTTCTACGGTATTTACAGGGGAATCGAATCATTCCAGGGTTCCTGGGCGGCGGTGCGAAATGGATTTTGCAACCATCCACACTAGGGCTTCACCCATCCCACAGGATTTGCCCCACATTCTCTCCGAGACCGCCGTTTTTTTCGTGTTTGCCGTTTGTTCGGGGATCACCGGTGCGATTTTGGTGAGCTTCAGCGCGGCGTGTTGGAAGCCGCAGATCCCAGCAATGCCTAAGGTACCTGTTATGTACATGCAAATGTACATGTTTGTAGAGACATTTGTGCACGAACTGGTGAGCGTGCGTGCGCGCGCACTCAGGAAGAAGCATATGTTGGTCCGCCCTCAAGGGCCCAGCAGGCCAAAGTTTGCCTAGGAAAAACTCGAGGAAAGTGAGCCTTCTTGGTTTCCTGGTGGACACGCCCTGAGAAGATCTCAAGCTCTAAAGAGCCTTGCAACGGCATTCAAATGAGACCACATTCCTTCTTCTGGGGTTCAAAGGGTAGGAACTGCGGATAAATGTCCTTCCTATTCTCACTTGATGGGTTCATGGACTTTGAGCGTTTTGGGTTTGGGCCATTGTGGTAAACAGCAGGTCTGACTTTTTGTGGCCAACCCGGGGACTGAGTATTAGGAGGTGAACATCTTCCACTTGGTATGGATCGGACCCCTTTGACCCAGCTGCCCGACCGCTAGGCGCTCCAGAAGCAGGAGCGGCGCATTGAGGCGGGGAGGTTGGGGGGAACTGGAGGTTAAGCTTTGAACACCGCTGGTTTCAGTTGTTTGTTGGCTTAGTGAAAAAGATAGCTCTAAATCAGATATCTTACTCACAACCGGTTCCTCAGTTGAAAGCTGCTGTGGGTAGTTGCGCTTTATTCCTTTGGGTGGCTGGGGTCCGCTTGTTTCCCCTCCCAGGAGTTGACATGCCCACGAGCGTCTTGGGGCCTCCTTAGGTGTTGGGCAAATTGTGTGGCAGCTTGAGCTTGCGGCAAGAGAAGCCGAGCTTTCGCTTGAACCCAAGAACCGGATGCCAAGCCGTCCTCTGTGTTCCCAACCACATGGCCTTTGCGTTGCTCAACTCATTTTTTGGATGGTTGGTCCTCAAGTTGTCTCACTTCCTGAGTTGCTGGACTTTCAACTTTGTGCGGTTTGGACCATTTTAGAGGTAAATAAAAATTTCCAGGGCTTTCTTTGACCAGCTCACTCGGGAAGAGAGTCATAGGTGTCCTTTTTGATTTGGTTGAAAACAGTTTTCGATTCCTGGTCCAATTTGTTTTTGACTAAACCCACTCAGGAAGTGGGTTGCTTATCTTGGACAGCCCTTAGCTTCAGTCTTTGGAAGATCCTGGCGTTTGGTCGATTTGGTCTCGGGCAGAGCCCGTCAGCTGGAGGCCGGTGTAGCGCCCTTCAGAGAGCCTTGGCAAAAGTGCCCAGGTACGTCAGGTGCCAGGACTTCAACTGGTCAGTCAAATGCTCTCAGAAGGGGGCCTTTCTGTGGATGGCCGCGAATCCATTTCGCACCTGCGTTCAGAAACCCTGGTGTCTGAGTTGATTACCCAACGTAATTACCAACAAACCGCGGTTTCAACCATGGATTTAGCATCAGGATTTTGTCCAGCCACCGTACCTCCCCATTTCTTGGGCTCGGGGGGCTTGAAACGCTAAGAGCCAAGAAGACAAACACGGGCAAGAGACCGGAGTCAAACGAACCAAGCGCGGCCAGCAGTTGCGAAGCCGCTGCGAGCGCTTCCAGGGATCAGCTTCACATTTGGGTCCACTGAGGATTCCTAGGCTGGGAATTGAACGAAAGGGGACGGCTGTTGCAATGTGGCGCCGTGTGTTGACAAAGCAGCGACTTCGCGTTGGTCCTAGCTGCATCGCATCTGAGGAAGCGAGCCAGGCGAGCCATGCGGATGTCAACGGAGTGTCCCGCTCGAAGGCCAATCGATGGAGCTTCCTTTTGGCTGGCGCGTGTCACTCCCTGATGACTGCCCTACCCATCCTACCCCCCCTCCCCCAACAAAAGAAAAAGCAGAAAAATAAAAACAACTTGAGGCAAGCAGAAAAGGATTGGGGTCTGCCGCCCCTTTTGCGGCCACTTCGGCACCTGTCATTTCACACCTTTGGCCAGGACAGTCGCGAGAGCCCTCGCGGCCCAGCGGCGGCTGTGGAGGTGTTGCTCACGCCGCGTGAAGGCTTGGGAATGGAGACCCCCCATGAATTCCCGCTTTGACTCTAAGCCACATGCTTGCCGCGGTCTCTTTTCCTTTTTTTCTCGGGGCTTGCAAAGCCCCCAAATTGAACGCTTGCCCCCAAATCCAACCAAAGCTAGGCGTCAGCAGGGGTGAGTCAAAGAGCTACAGGAGCTTTTGGTCGCAAGCTTTTGGCTCCTATCAAACCCGCGCTAGGTGAGCAGGAAGCCTCTGCCGTGGAGGACCTTCAGGGCCTGCCATGGCGACCCGTCACCAGCCGGGCACCCCCGGATCCTTGTATCGATTTCCCTCCCAGCTAACATGGAAGTGCACAGACCCCTGTAGAAAGACTACTTTCCTACGGGAAAGGGCCTTTTTGCACTTCCATGTTAGTTGGTGGGCGGGTTTTGTTTTTCATGGATCTTCATGGATCTTCATGAGTTTTGGATTCATCTGATGTTGGCCGCTTGAAAACGTAGGGAGAAGCATGGTCGGGTCTCTCCATGACGGCCTGGCCGTAAGGAACTCACCCGGGCTGGGATGGCCTTGGCGACCGCAGCCCAGGCCACGTGCACTCAGAGAATCCCAACGCATCGCAGGCAGCGCCAGTGGGAGTGTGGTGGACCGCATGTGACTGGCGCAAGCCAGCTCTTGTGAGACGAGCTAAGGGTCCCCTGGTTTTTTTTGTTTGGGCGTGTAAACTATGGTTTAGGTGTAAAAGAAGTTAGGTGAAGCATAGTGATGCACAGGGTCTAAGCCGCAATCTTGATGCAAAATATGGTTTGATTCCACCCAGATGAGTTGGCGATTCGGATCTTGGCACCCACGAGTCTAGGAACGGGAGGCTTGCAAGAGGATATCTCTCTGGTTGAATGAGCATCCTCTTCAGGGCATACACCTTGGTTTCTTGACACAGACGCCTTGCGCGCTTTCTTTGAGGTTCCCTTCTGAGTCCCAAGGGTGCCTTTGAGGGCAAACCTGCGGTGTGTGGCCCCAATTCGACTTGTGGACGCGCTTTGGCTCAGCGCAGCGCAACCAACGAACTTCGCGAAAGCGACCTCTTCTTCGAGCCATGTTCCGTGCCCTGGCTTTGGCAGCGACGGCCCTGGCGCAGAAAGAGCTGGCGCAGGAGACCAGAATTTCGGGTTTCGGGCTTGGGACCAAGGTATGAGTAGGTCTTTGAATGAGCGACCT